ATCTATAACTAAAGTAGTTTGTCATTCGTTATCACTACATCAAAAATGGACAGATCTCTAAATTACTAATAAAGAAAACATGGCACAAAAAATAAATAAGATGATAATACCGTGTGTTTTGGGATTTTTGTTTGTTAAAAATGCAAAATAGCTGTTTATGTAATGTAAATGATATGCAATTATTGTAAAGAATCACGTCAATCTTTATTATATATAATCATTATATACTTACTTTAAAACATGTATTTGAGACATGTTTTCAATGAAAATAAGCACATTTCAAACCTTTTCAATAGATTGTGATACAAATGTTGTTTTTTTTTAAAAACGGATAACATTTTTAGAAATATAAACTACTCATTTGCTATGCTGCTCTAATATTTTAAGCATACATGTCAGTCCTCTTCATGAGAATAATTCCAATTCACATATGCTACATATAAAATGATACCATAAAATTCTCATTTCTAGAACTTATTATTGATTTTGTCGGTTCAAAAAAAAAAAGAAGTTGTGGTATAATTTCCGATGAGACAATCTCCACCAGAGACCAAATAACATAGAAATTAACAACTATTCACAAAACGGTCTTCAACAATGAACAAAACCCATACCGCATAGTCAGCTGTAAAAGGCCCAAAAATTGCAAATGTCAGAGATTTCAATCGGAAAAAAAAAAAAAAAAAAAAAAAAAAAAAAAAAAAAATAGAAAAAATAACGGTCTGATTTATGAACAAAACACTGGACAAAAACCAAACAGTATATAAAGAAACAAAAGGCAACCACTAAATTACAGGCTCCTGACTTGGGACAGACACAGACAGAATGTGACGGGCTAAACATGTTTACGGGGCCCAACCCTCCCACTCAACTTGGACAGTGGTTTGACGCAATAACATATGAAAAAACTCATAAAATCAGTTGAAAGGGCTTAAATCGACAGATCGATAGAAAGCAGAAAACAAGTAACTATTTCCAAGGTTTTTGATGACAATAATATTCCAGTCAATTTTATGAATTTTAATATCATTTGCCGTAACTGTTTAATTAAAATATAAAATGAAAAAGAAAATATGACCATTCTTGGGCAAGAAAACTATTGATTTTTAATCATAAAACATCAGAGCCTTAGTCGATTGCTATAAACACTGTTAACAGTTAAGGTAGTAGGTTCGATAAACCCAAAACTGTCCCCTATTTCTAGAAAAAATTTCCAATTCAGATTTTTTGACCAATATCACAATATACCATAGCTAATACAATGACCAGATAGGAAATATATATTTTTATTATATAATTTACGTACGTGCATTCTATACATGACGTCACAGATAGCACTTTTTTTATTTTCCACGAAAATTCAATAAAAACGAGTAAATTTCTATTATATTTTGGATAGGAAACATAGAGCTCATGCGGCGACAAAAAAGATCTTTTGATGTAATGTTTGTTATAACATTTTACATAATTTTATCTGACTTTAATATTCAGTTTGTCGAATTCTGCGCTCTATATTTCGTAGGCAATAATTTGTTTGCCCGATTTGCGATGTCAAAATATACGTTTCTGAATAAAAGAAAACAATTGTATTAAACTTTCTCACATGTCTGTTCATCTTGAAACATTGAATTAAATAATCGGGGCCAAATATGGCCATCCTAAACTTACCCCTTTCAGCCTACTCCATGGTATGTGCTATTAGCTGACATTGCCGAATAATACCAAATTTATAGTTTTTTAAGGTGTGCATTGTAAACTCTTGTTTGTCTGCGGTTGTTTTTGAACATGACTTTATCAGTTTGTTTTCGAATTATGAGTTAAATTATCCCTTTGGAACCTTTCGCCTCTCTTGTACCTACAATGATGAAATTGACGGTTGCCACAGGTGAAGTATGATCTTATCAGGAGCAAAGGAGGTAAAGGCAGTTTTTTGTGGAGATCGTGTTGCCCAGCCTAAAGTTTTCTTTGTAGTGCACGTGTATTGTAAAATTGATGTGTGTTCGTCGTTCGTTGTTGCCATGACGTTGTCAGTTTCTCTGCAGTTAACGAGTTTTAAATATTCCTCGGTATCTTTCACTCTTCTTTACTTTAACTACCGTAACATATTAGAAAATTATAGAAGATTTGATTGGTTTACAATCAATTTAAGGTTATTGCCTTACTAAAAGGAAAATGTTTTTATTGCATATCTCAATTATATTTACATGGTCTCTGTTTATCAAATATTTTTTGATACGCTTGTACAATTTGCAGCCATTTAATTATGTTGCAATACTCTTTTTATTGTTAAACCATTGTGGTGACGTCAGCCTATTCATTTACCGTGGATTCTTTTTCTAGAATCAACGCTTCCTAAATCTGCCGCTGAAATTGACTCACCAAATTATATTCAATTTTTTCCTTTGTGTGCCTAATTTCATTAAGTTTGAATTGGCTAATTTGCTGATTTCTGTTCACTTATGAAATTAATTTAAAAACTTACCTTTAATTTTTGTAATTTTTATATGCCTTCACTGGGAATCGAACCCTTCCTCGAAATCTGTTATGTGTGACTGACATCAACACATCGACGAAACCTCTCGGCTACCAATGGGTTACAGTATAGATGTCTATTCTATATATTTGAATGAACATCTGATATACATCGGTTCATCGGACACACAGGGCTTGTACCTTTATATAGACACAATAGGCAGTCGTATAATATGAGTTGGTAGCCGCGAGGTTAGCATGGTTAAAATCAATGAGTTAAAGATATGGATTTGTCGGTTTAGGTTCGAATCCCTGTATTCTCTCTGATGTTCCAATTCGTAAGTTATCCTGGTTTTTTTTCTAATTTTGCATGTTAAAGTGGATATTTTTGTAATAATAGCGAGTTTTACCGGTTGTTTTTTTTTTATTAATATTGGCTATTTCACATGTTTGAAACAAAAATGATTACATTCTATTTGTCAATTTTTGTTTTATAAATATAGTATGATTTCATCTGTTTTACTACATAATTTTACACAGGTTTGTTCGCAAATTCCTATGCGAGAAAATCGTGATGTGCCTAGAGTGCTAGAAAAATTTCGATAACATACTTATTATATATACTTTATATATGCTTTTTGGTCGGGTTGTTGTCTCTTTGACACGTTTCCCATTTCCATTTTCAATTTTATTAGAAATAATTTCGAATATGTCTTATTTTGTATAAACAGATAATATTCATATGCCTGGTAATATAAAGATCTTTAAAGGTAGAAGTGTTATATTTGTATTTTCTTCACCAGTTAATTGTGATCTGAGAATTATCAATGCATCGTTTTGGACACGATAACATGGTTATTTAAACTCACTTACAATACCTTCTAATTAAGAAAAGGCTTTAATTTTGAAAAGAAATTAACACAATAGTTTAAGTTATAGATACAATGGATAAGCGTAGATTCATGAAAAACAAACCATTCGCCCTCCGGGCTCATGGTTTCTTTTTCAAGAATCCACGCTTATCCATTGTATCTATATAACTTAATTGTATGTTTGAAATACTTAAAGTTTGTCTGAAAGCAAACTATTCGTAAGTTTTAAAACAAACCAATTTGTAATATTAGGCCAACCATTTGAATACAACAGCTAAAATTAAGGTTTTATAGTTTCCTTTTGTTTTTTAAAGCAATTAAATGATATAACAATAAGGAGATGAGGTATGATTGCCTATGAGACAACTATCCACCAAAGTTGTTTTTTAATCATAATGTATTAAGACTTTATAACAGTAACGTACATGTAGCATTGTGAGTAGTTTTTGATGAGTTATAGTACAAACATTTAGTGTTATCGATAAAAAAAATAACTAAGTGTTTTTGCTAAAAGCTTAGAATATTAACGGTCTTACATTCTAATTCAAAATAATATTTTCCTGATTGTTTATAAATGTTCTTTCCTAAATCCATTGAATGTGTACTGATTGATATATGAGTTTGACTGTCCATCTGGTATCTTTCGTCCCTCTTTTAAATGCATGATCTTTTTATTAGTTATTATTTAATCTAGCTATCAATAACTGCAACTACTCTTAGATTTATTTTGGTGTGTGCTATGTGTTGATCTGATGATTCAAGCCATTTTCAACATATTTTATAAATTGTTTTTTTTGTTGTGTTGTAACATCGCTGTCAAAGGTAAGAATTGTTAGGTGCATGCAAACATGTTTACCCCATAAATGTTGTGTATGTCAATGTCTCAAATCAGGAACCTGTAATTTTGTGGTTGTCGTTTTATCATATCATATTTTCCTTTGAAGTGACGGGGAAAAAGTAGCAGAAAACGTCACGTCGAGTAAGTTTTTATTCTTTTGAATTGTTCTACATTTTACGTTTACTTTTATTGCTATGCGGTAAAGGTTTTTGTTCATTTATGACGGTTATACGATGAACTTCCACGTCATTTGTTTCTGGTCGAAAGTTGTCTCATTGGCAATCATACAATATCATTCTATATTTAAATAAACAACGAAAATATGTATTGCGCATTACATAAAACATTCCAACGAATGGAACTGAGCGACGGCATGTGTAAGTGATGTTATGTAATTTTATATACTTGAATATAGTTTGACGATCAGCCATAAACTTAAAGCGTTTATGTGTTCATTGTTATAATTTATATACTGTTATGATGTAAATGCCCTTTAATATCCTGTAATTTTTTTTACATCAATGTATTTTTATAAATGACCTACTCTTTTGAAATTGCAATTACTAAAACAAAATTTGTACATTGTTCTGTACTTTTTCTAAAATAAACATATATCTTGTTGTCGTACATTTAATTGTCTTGACATTAAAAAATAATTCTTATATGATTTGCATATTAGGGAATACGTTAATATGATTGGTCGAGAGGGCTTCCGGTAATTGATCTTGACGTTTTTCATTTTTCGATAGACGACGTTGACAGAACTATTTTTTGTAACCAATGAAAACAAGATAGCGGTGATAATAACAAAAACCGGCTCGACGTTAAAAATATTTATTTTTACTTCGCGTGCATCGTCAAATTAAATAATAAATACAAAACATCTATTTGAAAGAAAATCAGATATTTTTTTAGTTTATTTTTTCAGATAGCAAAGTAAACCAAAAAATATATTCATGCGCCAGGTCAACTCAATGCCACAAATTCACAATTTACGTGTGAAAGAAGTTACGAGTGGAGAAATCAAATTTCTTATCTCCAATTTTAGAGAATTATAAGGATTAAACTACTTTTTAGAGGAATTTATTGGTGTATTAACTGCACTAAGTCACTCACAAACATATGTCTTTTGGCTCGATGGCGTCAACTTAGGCAATATCCTTCATCATAAATTAGTTCAGTCGAAAATACCTCCTTATTTTAAAGATCAGTCTGTACCAATAATTTCTTATACCTATACCAAACCAATTGCAACTAAAATTTTCAATTACAAACACGTTTTGCAGGATCTCAACATTGACGACTTCAAGTCTAAACCTCCTGATTGCACCTGTGCTAGTTCCCAATTCACATATAATCCGGCTGGCCACGTTATCACCAGAGACTTCAACATTGTCAATAACACTTCCCTACGAAATTTGTTATCAAAAGGTCCGAAATATCGTGAGCCTAAATCCATCAATTGGAAATACAACTTCAAAATATTAAGAAAGAAGACGTAGATACTCTTTCCGAATGGATTAAGGCTGTGAGGTCGTTGATACAAATCCGAATTAAGACACTAAATGGGTCAACCCACATTACCTCAATTTTTAAAGACCCAAAAGTTGCAAAATACTTGTCCTACCTTCATGACAAATATGTTGTTGTCCCCGCAGATAAAGCCCCAAACAACATCTTTTTTGTGTGTAAATATCATTACATAAACTGCTTGATAAATGAATAAGTTATTGACAATTCATTGGGAAACTCAACATATACCCTCACGACGCTTACCAAAGAGGAAATCCTAGATAATCATAGGTCTGTTTTATCTTCCTTTGGAATTTCAACCAAATCTTCCATCACTGTATTGGATACCTAAACTACATAAGTGTCCTTACAAACAACGGTATATTGCTGGGTCTTCCAAGTGCTCCACGAAACCTCTTTCTAAATTATTAACATCTATTTTATCAGCAATCAAAGCCAGGCTCCAAAGTTATTGTTAAACTGCCTATTCTAGAGGTTGCGTGAATCAGATGTGGATACTGAAAATTCCAAAGATCTTTTAGAGTACATACAATCTAAGACACTCTCATCTTGCAATAGTATTAAACATTTGACTTTTCTACACTTTACACAAGTATTCCCCATTCCAAACTAAAAGACAAATTGAAAGAGTTGGTATTACTTTGTTTCATTAAAAAGAATGGCGAACGTAGATATCTTGTCTTTGGGAGGGATAAATTCTACTTTGTAAAGAATCACTCTGATTCAAACAAAAAATTCTCTGAAACTGACATTATCAAGATGCTTGATTTCTTGAATGACAACATATTTGTTACGTTTGGAGGGCGTGTTTTTCAACACTGTCGGAATTCCAATGGGAACCAATTGTGCCCCTCTTCTTGCCGACTTGTTTTTTTATTATTATGAGGCTGACTTCATACAGGAACTTCTTAGGAAGAAAGATAAGAAGTTAGCAATATCCTTCAACTTTACGTTCCGCTATATAGATGATGTTCTCTCACTAAATAATACAAAATTTGGTAACTATGTTGAACGAATCTATCCCATAAATAAAAAATAAAGGATACTAAAGATACAGTTAAGTCTGCCTCATATCTTGACTTACATCTAGAAATTGACAATGCGGGTCGGTTGAAAACAAAACTTTACGACAAAAGAGATGATTTCAGCTTCCCAATTGTGAATTTTCCGTTTCTATGTAGCATCATTCCAGCAGCGCCTGCATACGGAGTATGTATCTCCGAATTGATACGATATTCCCGGGCTTGTTTTTATTCTATCATTATTTCCTTGATAGAGGATTGCTATAGGAAGTTATAAAACCAAGAGTTCCAAATGGTGAAGTTGAAATCATCCCTTCGTAAATTTTACGGACGCCATCGCGAGTTGGTTGACCGTTATTGAATAACCATTTCACAGATGATATCAGATATGTTTCTTATGTCTTAACTACAATACCCTTCCCTTTTCACGAATGTGACCTACATGATTACCAGATTTGTTATAACATAAGCAACACGACAGGTGCCACATGTGGAGCAGGATCTGCTTACCCTTCCGGAGCACCTGAGATCACTCCCAGTTGTTGGTGGGGTTCGTGTTGCTTAGTCTTTAGTTTTTCTATGTTGTGTCATCTGTACTATTATTTGTTTGTTTGTCTTTTTATTTTTGGCCATGGCGTTGTCAGTTTGTTTTCGATCTATGAGTTTGACTGTCCCTCTGGTATCTTTCGTCCCTCTTTTGTAGACGAAACCCGCGTCATCCGAACAAAATTTTAATCCAGGTATCTATGATTATTTTTTTTTTCATGATTTCTGAATAATCTTTTTCTTCAATCTGTTGTTTTTTACAACGTGTGTAGATTACATAGCACAGTAAGTCTAAAGATAAAGGAAATATTGTTTATACAAGATATCAATTTTATGAGATGAAGGTAACTGTTGACAATTTAAAGTCAATAATGGATCTTTGATTGTTTCATTTAAAAATAGAGACTTAACGTCATAGCCTTCCATTCCTTGATCAACATATCGTAACTTTTATAATCAGGGCTGGATATCTTTTTTAAAAGTTCATGTCCAGGAGCAAACACTGGCAAGAACCCTTCATTATGTTCCAGTGAAATATTAAGCATATTTGCTAGTATACCAATATATGCATCTTCAATTCTAATAACTTTTGAATACTTGATACCGTCATTTAGTGCTTTTATAACCATCATGTTTGTAATTGCTGTTCCTCCTATTAAATACGGTGGCCAAAAATTGAACTCATATTCATCTACAGAGATATACCATTTCGAAGACCTCTTACGAAACGGTTTTGCGTGTGTAACTTTAAATCCTATCATTTTCATTTCGAATGCAGTTAAACGTTTTAAAGCCATGTTCAATAAGTTTTGTGAGTTGACAAGCCGATCATCATCCACGAAATGAATGAATTTTGTCTGAATATTCATATCACATAACCAGGCAATCGAGAAAACTGTTTTATACACCAGATTATTGTATATATCTTGCATATCGAACTGTAGAATATCATCATAAATATTAGATTCTAAATCTATAAATAACTGAAACGATTCACTATATCCAATGATAAAAACTGTTACAATACGTATGGATGTTTCATTTCCCCATGTTTCACGGATTGCCATTCTCTGACTTATGTTTTCAACAGAAGATTTGACTAGGTATATAATATCAACGAATCGACATAAGGTCGGTTTACATTTAGTCTGAAGCGGATTTTTAAGGAGTCTGTAAGACGAAGTTAGATTATTTAATGACAACATCGAAGTTTTCCGAGTCAATCGTATTTCATTAATAAAATCACTCACGTTTTTATAGATATAGTTCAGCTGAACGTATTCCTTCTCCTTCTGTCTGTTTGTAATATATCGGACGAAGAATAAGAAAAACATAAAGCAACATAAATGCCTGAAAATAAAATTCATGAGTATGTTTTAATGACTTAAGAACGTATCCAAACTGTACAATTAACTATTAGAGCAAAGAATGACAACAGACAAAAATTCAAGAGATTTGAACACGAAATGGATCATTTTAAGCAGGTCTTTCTAACCATTATCAATTGAATGTTCAGATATTTGCTTTTGTATTTAAAGTGAACTGAGGTTCAATTCTTATAAATCTATTACGAAGATAACAATAAACACGAATTGCAGGACTCACATCAACTCCAATATTTGCAAATGCGGGTGCGCTTTGGCAAAATAATTAAATAAAGTTTAATAAAAAAATAACTGAAAGTGTATCGAAACAGACATCAACATTCTGGAGAATCATTCAACACATTTCAAACACTGCCTATCAATATTATTTGTATGTTGAAAAATTACTTAATAGGACGGAAAATAACCAAACTTATTCGACAGGTTGTAACAATGCATATGTATATATTTAAAAGTAAGGCGAAATCTGCAATCCCCCTTAAGAAAATTTGGATAGCATATATAGCTGTTCAATTATAATGTTCGCTTCAAACTGAAATAAAGTCAACCATTTTTATCTATTTGTTCCTCAACTGTTTTTAAACATATATGTATGTTACTTACGCATCACTACTATCAAACATTTAGATTGCTATGTTTTGTTTTAATTAATGACCAATAAGGCCATGTAAACATAGGAAAACATTAATATTTCATCAACCTGACATTAAAGGTCAGATTTGAAATTAATGTAAGTTGAACGCATTATAATTGATTTGATTTTTGATGTTTAACGCCACTTTTAAGCACCGCTTTTGGGCTATTTCGTGGCGGCCAGTTTTTATTGGTGGAGGAAGCCGGAGTGCCCGGAGAAAACCACCGACCTTCGATAGGAAAACTGACAATCCTAGTCAATAAAGGTTGGAGTCGAGTGCACCCGCACGAGCGGGGTTCGAACTCACAACCTCAGTGTTGACTGGCTAGTGATTACAGTAGTAACTACTTAGACCACTCGGCCACCGAGGCCCCTGAACGCATTATAACTTAGTACTTACTTTTTATAGCGTATGATGATTTTTTTCTGCATTCTAAATTATAAATTGCACCAAGTCAGGTATATGACGATTATTTTTTTTTTTTGTTCATTGATGATCGATTGAAACTATTTCCCAAATAGAAGACAGTTCATCTATGCTGACACTGTTAATTAAATGTTCCTTGATTAAGAAAATTCCTGCAGAAAAAAGTTTACGTCAAAGATATTCTTTAATTTATAAATGATTAGATAAAATTAAGTTAAAGTTTTGAAAATTTTATAATAGTGTGCATACATTGCTGATAATATTCAAAAGTAAGAATACATTTAGTCAGCCATGCATTACGGCAAAATGATTACTGTTTCAGCATGAGTGATTTATTGTTTCATTGTAGTATAAGGCTTTTAATGAATTGAATTCACAACGTTGAAATGGTTCAATATAACAAAAAGGTCAATTGTCCGATCTGAAATATATAGATAATTAAGGAATGACTTAATGTCTATGAATAAATAACATAAAAAATGTGGTGCACATATAGAATATATCATTTTGAAGCATATAATGTATATTACGTTGAATTACAATAATGCAAAAATATAATGCAGATGAAAACAGTTCACCGAAGTAAGTTATTTGTACGACTCAATAAAAAACTATACAACATTAAAAACTAAAACTTTTTACCATAGATTAATTTGAAATTGAAATAATAAATAACTAATACTGATGGTTACGGCTCATCAAGTTGCACCTGGTCTCAATTTTTCCGCATTGACAGTATAGACCAAAACTATAGTATGTATAATCAAAATACAAGGTACAACAAGCCAGTACCAGATAAAACAATTATTCAGAAAAGTAGTTTGCCTTTAGTGAGTAAAAATCAAAGAGTCTACATGGATGTTTAGGTTTCACATTTTATATAATCTACATGCAAAAAATGGGACTAGCCGAGTAAATCTAAATTCACACCGCTCTTTATAACAAATAATGTAAAAAACTGTTAATTGGATGTTTTACAGTTCCCCAAAAAAAAAGTGTTTAACCAGTTACGTTGGCTTCTAAAATCTTAACAACTTTTTAAGGCTATAAATCACAACAAGGAAAATGTTAATAGTTTTTTTTTCAGTCATTCAAACATTTCCATGATATAAGGCAAATACGACTGTCCAGTATTGTCAAAGTAATAGGGTCAGAATATCCTTACATTTAATTAGATACTGATCTGGTCAAATTTTGTTGTGTCAGGTGTTATGCAAATATATAAAGTTTGCTTAAATATTGTATGCGTACATTTATAAGGATTCTTTCCTTCTAATAAAATGTATTGTTTCGGTATTATAATTGAATTGATCATTAAAAAGATATTAAAACCATTTCAAACAAATATCATTTATTATCATCATTATTTTTTTATTTTCTGTGGATTCATTTCTTTTCGTGGATACCAATTTTCCTGGACTCAGGAAAATTGTATTTTCGTAGATATTTGATTTCGAGGTTGTGTCAAAGTTTTATAAAAGCATATAGCAAAATTGTACAGGTATAAAATTGAGAATGGAAATGGAGAATATGTCAAAGAGACAACAACCCGACCAAAGAGCAGATAACAGCCGAAGGCCACCAATGGGTCTTCAATGAAACGAAAATGCCGCACCCGGAGGTGGGCCTCAGCTGGCCCCTAAATAAAAGTGTGTACTAGTTCAGTGAAAAAGGACGCCATACTAAACTCCAAAACATATAAATGAACTAAAATTAAAAAAAACATACAAGACTAACAAAGGCCAGAGGCTCCTGACTTGGGACAGACGCAAAAATGCGACGGGGTTAAACATGTTTTGTGAGATCTCAACCCTACCCCTATACATGTATGTATGTATGTAACATATCCGTCCAAATCAAGATTAACCAAAGGGAACGAAAACTCGTTTTTTTTTCGTATATCTTTAATATAGTTTCCCTTGTGAAACTGAAATATCCAAATCATGGCAGTTATTGAGAGGTTCACTTAAAGAAATTTCTTTAAGGCAAATGTCAGCAATAAATTTTAAACGTTCCTGATTATTTGACAAAGAATATCATCAAATTAACGGTAGGCATTGTTAAAAATATCAATTAAATGAGATTTAGACAGATCTTTACTGAGTTTGGCTATAAACTATAATTCACGCCACCAAATGAACATTTCTGCTATTAAGGGGACGCAACCTACAACCTGCCGACAATCTTAAATGCCAAAACGTACATAGATGTTGTCAAGAACAACTTTTACAGCTTTCCTCATCTCATCACACATCAAGTAATATTATATAACACATTTAACTTTTTCATCGCAGTAAAAAGATCTATATCAGTTGCAGCAAATACTTTTGGTATCAGATGTTTCACGGCCATGTCATTGAATAGGAACAATTTTGTTTAATAAGGTTGAATGGAAGTCATCGCAGTAAAAAGATCTATATCAATTTCAGCAAATACGTTTGGTATCAGATGTTTCACGGCCATTTCATTAAATAGGAACAATTTTGCTTAATAAGATCGAATGGAAGTCATCGCAGTAAAAAGCTCTACATCAGTTGCAGCAAATACGTTTGGTATCAGATGTTTCACGGCCATTTCTTTAATAAGATTGAATGGAAGTGAAGTGAAGATATTAAAAAATTCAAAACTGCCTCTCGAATTAAAAAGACTATCAAATGAATATAATTTATCGAAAACATCCAAAGAATTTTCTACATTCCAGGTATAATTATTACCAATATTATGAAATGCTTTATTACATAAATTAATGATGAATTCATTGATAGTAGTAACGGTGATAGTTAAAAGAACAACACTATTCGTTATAAATAAACTCATCATAGATTAAAATTCTGTACGCTAGACGCGCGTCTACAAAACCCTCATCAGTGACGTTCGAATCAAACGAGCAAAAAGGGCAAAATAAAGTACGAAGTTGAAGAGCATTTAGGACCCAAAATTCTTAGAAAGGGGTTTCAAAATAAATATAGGAAATCTATTCCTGTGATAGAAAATCAGTAGTATTTCAAAGATGAATTAAAGTTTTGTAAACAGTTAATTCATCATTATGACCAAATCAATGATAATTCATGTCAACACTGAAGTGATGACTACTGGTCTAATGTAGAACACATACTGAAGTCCAGGATGAAACGATATTTGACTTTTTTTTTTTTAATGTTATCAAAATAATGAAGTAAAAAGTTTTGAATGGTAGAGCTTTTAAATATACTAGAAAAATTAGCAGAGTCAGTATCTTTGTTATATAGTTTATTTGCAGAAAATGCCGCTTATGATAATCAGATTAATCGATACGCTGGGACAGCATAATAATTACAAAAAAGCTGCACTTAACTTGTCTCCGTTTTCCAAAATACTTTGAATTATATAATTGTGTTACCTTGAATTGTTATTAGTAAAATTCCGAATTTCATCCAGGATTTGAATTTGCAATTGGTAAACGTTTGGTCTGCCATACAAAATTATCAAGCCTGGTATCTTGAGAAGTTTTTAAAACCACCAGATCGATGCCATTGCTGGTGAAGATCTCACCCCCGAGGTTATTATCAGAAACGTAGCAAGCCCATTTGTGTTGACATCCAATATTATTGGAATGTTCGTTTCATACGCTTTTATTGTTGATAAATAAAAGGTTAAAGTATTTGAAACCCTCAAATTTTTTTACCTCTAGGCATAGATTGTCGAAGCAGTATTTGTTATTTTGGTAATTTTTGTTTTATAAATCTCTTCAAGAGAGGCAAAGGATAACAGAGGGAATTAAGACTCATCAGTCGAAAATAGTTTGACAACGCCATGGTAAAAAAAAAAAAAAAAAAAAATGACACAACATAGGAAACTTAAGAATGAGTAACAGGAACCTCACCAAAAACCGGTGGTGATCTCAGGTGCTCCGGAAGGGTAATCAGATCCTGCTCCACATGTGGCATCCGTCGTGTTGCTAATGTAAGTACAAACCCGCTGATAAGATTAATTTGGTAGGCCACATTCGAGGAGAAGGGAACGGGGTTGTGGTTACAATAGAAACATATCCCTCGTCATCTGTGAAACAGATATTCGATAACGGTTAACCAACTCATGCTGGTGGCCGTAAAATTTACAAATGGATCATTTCAACGTCGCCACTTAGCATTCTTGGTTTAATAGCTTGCTTGTGAGAAACAACACTCTATCTTGGAAATCATCATAGGAAATACAAGCTCTTGAATATTGTATAAACTTGGAGTTATATACTCCATATGCAGGCCCTGCTGAAATGTTGATACATAGAATTGGAAAGTTTACAATTGGGAAGCTGAAATCATATCTTTTGTCGTAATGTGTTTTTTTAACCGACCCTCATTGTCAATTTCTAGATGTAAGTCAAGATATGGACAGATTAACTATATCTGTTTTATCCTTTATCTTAAGTTCAATCGGATAGATGCATTCCAAATAGTCACCAAACTTTTTATTTTTAAGTGAGAGGACATCATCTATATAGTCGAAAGTGAAGTTAAAGGATAATGCTAACTTCTTTTCTTTTTTCCTAAGAAGTTCTTGTATGACATCAGTCACATATGAATAAAGGAACAAGTCAACAAGAAGAGGAGCACAGCTGATTCCCATGGGAATGCCGATTGTTTGTTGAAAAACACGTCCTCCAAAATGTTTTAATTTGAGCGTCATCGATGATGTTATGTAGATAAAAAAAAGCGTGTAATGAACCAAACTATAGGTCTGGTAGCTTTAATGACTCTCTGTTTGTTTCAATTCAGTCTTATCAAGAATAAAACATGTCCTATGGAGTACATTGTATATTGTATATACTTTGCGAAAAAGTCTTGGATACATTGAATGTCAATACAAAAAAATCAGTTTGAATAAAAATATGATATCAGTAAATTGATTCAGTACAAAATGTGATAACAAATTATTACTAAAATTGCACAATTAATATATAAATAGTTTTTTAATAGTCAGCACGGAATTGTAAAACAATCTTATGATGATTTATAGGTAGATAATAGTTTAAGAAACAGTCAATTGGCCTCAAAATTTCATGTCATTTTTTGTAACTTGAACAAAGAAACGAGATGTTCCATAAATGATTTGAGACAAATCTTTCACTGTACTACAATCTGTCGATACCTATATTTTGGCAATAAAGAAGGTTATGTTTTTGTCTGACTATTAATGACGTCTTTACACTAAATCCATCGGATGTTTAATGTGTATTGATTGATTGATGTATTAGTCTAACATGATCTTTTTATTAGTTGTTATTGGCTTTGAACTAGCTGTCAGTAACTGCCGGTAATCCCAGATCTGTTCTTTGAGTCTTTGTTTTTGTTAGGGATGCATAAATACCCTGCCATATCTGGTCTGTGCTAAGAACTTTTCAACAGATTTTTATAGTTTGTTCTTATGTTGTGCCGTAATACCACTGCGCAGGTTAAGGGAGAGTCCTCACAAACATGCTTAAACCCGCCAAATTCTTTATGTGCGTATCTCAGGTCAGTGGCTGTAGTTCAGTGGTTGTCGTTAGTTCATATCTGTATTATGTGTTTTTTTCCGTACATTTTTGTTATAAAAGAGGGACGAAAGATACCAGAGGGACAGTCAAACTCATAGATCGAAAACAAACTGACAACGCCATGGCCAAAAAAAAAAAAAAGACAAACAGACAAATAGTAGTACAGATGACACAACATAGAAAACTAAAGACTAAGCAACACGAACCCCACCAACAACTGGTTTTTTTTTGGTTATAAATAAGGCCGTTAATTTTATCAACTGAATTGTTTCATATTTTTCATGTCGACCATACGGTATGAGTTTTTCTCATTGTTGGAAGCCGTACGGTTGTCTATACTACCTATAATTATTTACATCAACATCAATTGAACTTTGGTGAATAGTTGTCTCATTGGCAATCATACCACATATCCTTATTTTTATATTGTTCTGAAATTAAAGACAAATATCATGTATTCCCTCTCTGTCATTCTATGATACCACTAGTAGATAATGGAGTAGATAACGGAGTTATATTGTTCTGAAATTAAAGACAAATATCATGTATTCCCTCTCTGTCATTCTATGATACCACTAGTAGATAATGGAGTTATCGTACATTGGGAAAAAGAATAAACTTTTACAAAAATTATCTTAATATACAAAACAAGGAAATTTACTAAATGTATTTCTGCTAGCTGTCTGTGGATTCCGGATTATTGATATGCATTGCGACGGTGGACTAGAGGTATGCATCTGTGTGATTATTTCTTTACAAATGTGTTTGCTTTTTCGGTTGTAATTTTCATTTACGCATACGTGAATGCTTTTACCTTCACCAATATGGGTTCCATTATAGTAAATAAATAAATGTGAAATGCACTGACACATCTCGATTAATTTTCTCAAAGACACAGAAAACACTTATCGTGGTGTTTACCCAATGCTCCTTTAAAAACTACTGTCCTGTCTCCTACTTCCAGTGGGTCAACTTATTTAGAATTGAAAAATCTGTATTTTCATATAGAAAGTCGATCCCTAAACGCCAACATTATATATCAATATCTGAAATAATCTGGCTTTGTTGTGAAAAAGTTTACTCTTATAGCAATCTCCCGTTTCCTCGGCAAATAAGGCCAGTCGTCACTGTTATTGTGAATATACTTACTCTAGGGGTGGAATAAACAAGGTGTTGATTCTTAAAGATTTAAACAGTCTGTTAAATAACATATTATATGCAATAGCAGTAGAGAAAAGTAACGTTTGATGATTAGTTCCTTATGTAAACGTTAAGACATAATGAAAGAATCCGGTTAAATTTTTCCTCATCAATAAATGACTAATGTAGGTACAATAAACTTGTTACACGAAGGATAAATCATACTTTTTAAAAAGAAGAAACTCCGATTGAAACGCAAAAGTTTCTAGATTTGAAAGAATGAGATGCTTGATTTCTTGATCGTGAAGTCTGGAGTTTTTCAAAAAACAATTAGCATTCCTATTAGAACTAACTATGCATCACTTATTTCGCACTTATTCCTTTATTGATATGACGCTGACTTCAAACTAGATTTTCAGAAAAAATGAAAAGAAGATAGCATCATCTTTAAACGTAACTTTAAATATTTTCAAGATTAGTTATTATGTGAAAGTACCATTTCAATATTGTAATATTCCAATAACGACTGCATATGGAGCAGATATACGATATTACACAACTGTTTTCATCATAGCTTCTCTGGAAGTTAAAGTTATCCCTTTTAAAAGCTTATGAGCTAGTCGAGCGTTACCGAATATATGATAACCACGTATATGTCCCAATGCAGGAAGTCATAACCCCGTCTTTTGATTTTTTTCAGTCTTTACTTTTTATGAATGGTTTTGAGGACTTTTGTTTGCTTTCTCGTTTATTTTCTTAGACGCTTATTTGCTGGAAATTATTTGAAAGTTGAACCGTTGCTGCGCACTTATTCTGTTGCTAGGTTTTTGATAATCATTGAGTAAATTTCAATTTTACATCATTATTTTGATAGAACCACATATTATTTCGTATACATACAAAAGCCAGTAGAAGTTAAATGGTTAATTATACCTCAGTTACATCAGACTAAAGTATAGAAACTAATGCATCTACAACTTAAAACTGTAAAACTTATTAAAATCTAATGCTCCTCATTATAACACATGACTTCAACATTGTTCAAGGTACAGAGGTTACAAAAGGACAAACATATCGTCCTCAATCTATAATTAATTGGCAAAAGTATCCTCATGTCATTAAAAGAGAGGCGAAAGATACCAAAGAAACATTCAAACTCATACAAGTCGACAATAACCTGATATCGCCATTAAAGATGATCTTTCATCCCATTGAATCAATGGCAGGAATTTTATAAAAAATCCCTTGATTCTTCATTAGATAAATGTATGAATATAGTAAATATTTGAATATCTCATTTTGAAAGTAATTTGGAAACCACTGACAAACACAGCAAACAGCATGTGGCGGTGGTGTTATGATGTCAATACTACACGGAATGTCTTAAGAACAAATTCATAAATTCTTCCAAATTTAGGTCCGTGCGCTTCACAGAGAGTCAGATAGTGAACACTGATATTATTGCAACATCCCAGCTTGCCTCTGAACATTTGTTAGTCCCTACAACGTATTGTCTCTCTGAACGACAAACAAAAGAGTCAACTTGACCTTGGACAATAAAGCCATGATTTAGATATAAGTCTATAAATGGCTAGTTTGTTTTGATGGTACAATTATCTTACCTTTTGTTATTTACTGTTTTTGTTAAACCTTATGCATTCTTACCTTAGAAAAGAAAAAAGATAAAAAAAGTAAAATAAATCAAGTATAGCAATAATGTTAGGGTATGAGTGGGGATAAGCTCATCATAGTTTTGACTATATTAAACTAAAAGAAACAGACAGTGATTGCGTCAGATTATTCAAATTAGTCGTTAAACTTTTCGTTCAACGACCTGTATCATATTACTTGTTACGTTCACCTAGTCAATTTTCAGTTGATGCATAATCAATCAAAAGCATTGTTTTGTGATTGCAAGCTACTTAAACCACATAGATATTGACTTTAAGTGGTGTAATATCAGTTATTTTATAAAAACATGAACCCGTTGTTTTCCTTTTCCTAAATAATATTGATTCCAATTCGTAGTCAGATAAGGATATCTCTTTTTTCCATAACACCTGTGTGCATTAAAGGCTAAAAAATCATGATTGATATCATAAAGTACACCAAGTACAAGTGAACCATTGTTCCTTGTTACACACCATGCTCTAGCAACTACAATTAAATCACCCCATGGATTTAAAGCATCCCCATACCTTCCTAGTCCTGAGTGTTCGATCGAGCTAAAAGATACTACTGCATCGAATAATCCTAGTGTGTTATCTAAGTACTGACGTCTGTATTCCGATGGAACTATTGTTGTTATTTGCTCATGCTCAGACTGTATATGGCCATATTCAAGTGTAACGATATTATTCGCTCCCGCCTCTAGTAAGCATGCTTCAACCCATGGCTTTTCCGACCCAATAACTAAGACGCGTCCGTTTTTTACACCCGGTGCATGTTTAAGTCCATCTCGTAATGCATTTGTTTCAGATATACCATAAGTACCGAACAACTTTCCTACTTTTGCTTTTGATAAATACCCATTGATTAATGGTCTTGTCCAAACAGGAGTTTTAGCATTATTTCCAAGATAAGGCTGATGAAAATAGGTTTTATAAACCTGTATTTGTCCTCCCATAGTAAAATCTAGAAGAAAAACTTTAGGAATATTTCTTGGAGCCGAAGGAAACCCGTGCATTGAATCTACATACTCATTTTGAAATAATGCTTTACAGTTAACCGTTGAAATAATTTTATTAAAAAACTTGTCCGGATAACCAACACGGGATGTATTACAAAGTTCGCCACAGATCTGACGCACATGTTGTATTTCGTCTATATAGGTCAAAGGTTTCGTAAATGTTTGTTCTCCACTGTGTCCAATCCTTACGTTCTTTATAAGAATACAGAACGAAATTATAAACATCAGAAACAGTATAGATTTAATACATGTATATACTGAGTAATTGGTCATTTTGGCACAAAATCGACGTAAGTCAGCAGATTAATCTGTAAAAATAAATGACAAAATAAATGCACGAGTACGTAAATGGGAATAAAGGAGTAGGTCCAGTAAGACCCTTTTTTTGGCCCCAAAATATAGCAGTTTTACAAAATTGTTAAAATGTAAACTTTTAGCTATTTATTTGAAAGTAGAATACTTATGTTACATAAATATGGGCTGTTTTTGACAATACAATGCACATATATCGGGCACTAGCATCAATAAGTCATGCTAAATTACTGAAATCTTCACAATTTAAGCATTTGAGTTAAATTTTAGACAGTTTCCGTCTTAAATGGAAGTGGCCGCATTCGTGTTCATTCTTAATATTTAAATGTAAGTTGTATTTTATGATAATACATAACATATATGAAGTTTGAGAGTGAACACGGATGCGGCCACTTTCATTTTTGACAAAAAGCATCTGAAAAGTGACCTATTATGGCATATTTGACAGATTTTTCATATTTAAGCTTGAATTTGAGCGTCTTTAATGATTGAATCAGTTCAAATCTTTCACATAAACTAAATGAATCGACTCAAGTAGACACTGAAGTGTTTAAAAAGTGTCCAAATTTTTTCATCAAATGAACCTGAAATTTGAGGCCAAAATCGGTCCTTACCGGACCTACTCCTTGCTGTATTAAATCCACTGAAACTGATTTCAATTCTCAATCTTCAGTTTTCTGTGACGAGTTTTGTAGATTTTTTTTTTGTCCTTTTGTCGTTTAAATTTTGGAAACGATGTTCACAATCTTTATTCTACTTATAGAATCTTATTGACACTCAAGCTATCATCTATCTCGCTTTTATTGAATTCGCAGTTTACAGTCATGTGTTGAAAAATTATGACATTTAAACTGACATAATTTTATTATCAAAGGACACATGCATAAAGCAGTTACTTTTTTAAAGATGAATTTTGAGCAGTCCGTTTTGTATTGTATCTAATATAAAACAACATAAGCATATTTTGCATTGAAATAGAATAAGTTCAGTAGTTCAATCTTTTTCCATTCAGCTTTCGCTGATATTTTTAGTCAGTTGAAAGCTGAAAATGTAAATATTGATGCCAAAAGCCAGAACCTTGACATTTGATTTCTTTGGTCATCTATAATTTTGACTCGAGTTAATTCAATATCTTCAAATTTGTCTAGTTCCTTGTTCTTGCGATACTTAGCAAAATAAAAAGAGACGGAACTGATATTTCGATGAAAAACTGACAGAGCCATGACAAAACACGACGAAAAGACAAACAACTCCACAACACACTATATAGACAAATAAAGATTGATTAACACAAACCCAACCATTAACCACGATTGAACTCATGTGCTACAGAATTCCTGCTCCACATGCAGCACCTTTTGTTTTGAACATGCAAGTACAAATCTCGTGAAAAGTCTAATTCGGTGGTGTCCCAATCGCAGAAAAGAGAGCAGGATTGCGGTTACGACAATTGAAACATATCAGTTGTCATCTGTGACAAGGATATTTCAACAACGGTCAACCAAATTGTGCATGCGTCAGTTAAATTTAAGAATGTATAACATCAACCACACAATTTTGAACCCTTAATTCAACAGCGTCCTTGTAAGCAGCAACCCTTCATCAAGAAACTCAAGATACATAACGGAAACTTTGCAATATTTATCAACTAAAAGAAAAACAAGCGTGTTGCCGTATCTGCAGGTTAAGACCTTTTTCATATTACTTTTATCTTTCTCTAAAGTCTGACATTTGTACTCTAAAGTTTATAAGTGGTAGATACGAACTTCTGCATAATAGGGTTTTTCTAATACTTTAAATAACCTGCAGTGATCACACTCGTTGGAACTAGAATAGATATAGGAAGATGTGGTATGAGTGCCAATGAGACAACTCTCCATCCAAGTCAAAACTTATAAAAGTAAACCATTATAGATCACAGTACGGTCTTCAACACGTAGCCTTGGCTCACACCGAACTGTAAGCTATAAAGGGCCCCAAAAATTACTAGTGTAAAACCATTCAAACGGGAAAACCAACGGTCTAATCTATATAAAAAACGAGAAACGAGAAACACTTATGAACCACATCAACAAACGACATTTACTGAACATCAGATTCCTGACTTAGGACAGGTGCAAACAAATGCAGCGGGTTTAAACGTTTTAATGGTACCAAACCTTCACCCTTTTTCTGAAACAATAGTGTAACATCAGAACATAAATTTGACCTATGATACAATGTAAATACAAAATAAATAAACTAAGGGAATAATGATAAAAGTAACATGTTATATCGGTATGAAATGTTAAACAATTTAAGAAAAACAATATGCCCGAATAAAAATATCAGCCATTTGCAATAACTTTAAGGTAAATGAAAATAATATTGTTGTTAGGTATACGTGTACAGTTCCAAAAGAGAAAGGAAATATTTTTACAAAATAATAGTTCATAGTACGAAGTGAAAATTTATAGTAATACCAAACACTTATCAAAGCTGGTATATAGACCAGATATAACCTTGAATAACATTAAATAACAAAAAAAGCATTATAATTAGTATCAAATGCATTAATATACCCTTGAGTTGAAATCTACTCACTAGGTATGGTTCATTCATTTCATTTATTATGTTTATTTCCTCTGTTCAAAAATTCATGTGTATACTTACAGAAAACGTGTTCGTTACCTTTATTAATATGATATTAGATAGTTAAAATTAGCCACCATGCAACCTCTATTCCAACCCTGTCGAATAAGTATGTTATTGATATTTTATTTGTTTCTTTAATATTTTGCATTAAACTGATTATCATTACAAGAGACATATGCTACATGTTTTAGTGATGAAAGTTTTACCAATGTTAAATAGAATATAACTGATTTTCATTGTAAAAGACTACACAAATTACTGTCTTGTTCTGTGCATGTTCGTTACGTTTTAAAATATTTGTCAAAGTCAGAAATGCAAACGTTTAATAATAGATGTCTTATCTGGTCTGATGTTATTTACACAAACACTTTCTGTATCTTTAAAAAAAACATCGCTGGCGACGCGGATTTGTCATAAAATTTGTAGGACTATTGAAATGAACGGCATAAATTGTTGGCAACTATCGATAACTGGCTTTGATTTCAATACATCAGGCAGTTTTTTTTTTATGAATTGTTTTGCATTTGGCATGCTAGGGCTTTTCATATCTTACTTTGAGCAACATGAAGGTCGCTGCATGTTCAGCCGAATCTATTTACCCTGTGTATCTGTGAACACCCCTTGTTTTGGTGGGGTTCACATTTCTTAATCTGTAGCATAAGGTTCCTTCAAAGCTATTTACCCATTCGGAGTACATGCGATCATCCCTATATTTGGTGGGGTTCACGTTGCTCAATATCTAGTTTTTCACATTTGTTAATTTTCTATGTTATCAATAATTTTGCAGGTCTCTTTATGTCTTACAAGTTTTGATTCTGTAGTTGGTATGTTCAACCTCTTTTTTACTATAAATGTATGAAGAAGAAACACGCGTCTTGCCAAAAATTTATGCTTGTTAAGGAAGTAGATTTCCGAAAATTGATTCAGTTGGATTGTGGGTGATTTTGTGGTTTCCTTTTGCAGAAATAGATAAATAACCTCAATAAAAAATTAACGTCAACTAATAATGATATTAGCTGGGACAAAAACAAGTTCCTTGCCGATTTTTTTTTAGATTATGTTTGATATGACAAATAAGGCTATTATGGTTGTTGTGAAGAGTGATTTTGCGTCTTAATATGTTGATAAATTATACTTTTAAATCTATGGGGTCTTCTTAAACGATAAATTTGTTCGTGCGTGCGTTAAGTTAAATAGGGTCCAAGTTCACCTACGTACTGAATACCGCAGCCCTGTTTGTTTTAGGTAAGTAAAAGATAAGATTCAAAATTAAAGGAAATGGTTCGACCATTAAAAGTGGACCTTACCGTATTGTTGGTAGAAAAACGGGGACATGTAAGTCATTTTGTTTGCATGACACTTATCGATAGAAGGGCAACCGAGATGTTTTATTATTGAAAATGTTAGCAATTGTAGTGTTTTCAAATACGTAATTTTGAAGCTTCAGACGTGTAGATATTCTTTGAACAAGTTTGGGTTTAAGAATTTTTCTGAGCTTCATATTGTTATCCGTACTTCCAATTGATGTCTGACTGAATAAAAGAAATATGGGCGGAATAACAAAATATGAGTTTTAAATAAATATGCCTAAAGTAATGAACATAGAGAAATTTTGTATTTATCTTCTCTTTCAATGGTCACATTACATTAAACACACACATTATTCTAATCATAACTCCTCGATAACCTGCATCAGGTGTGGGAGCTGTATAGTTGCTCATCTCGCGACTGGTTTCTAATATGCTGATATGCCTGTAGGACATTTTTCATGTAGTTTCTTAAGTGTTACTATAGATTATGACTTTATGGCTTATTCTGAAAAATATAAACCTTTGGCAATTTATAATTTGGATTTGGAAATACAAAAACTACAGGTAAATTAAGGTAACAGTAGTTTACCGATGTTAGCAGCTCCCCGATAAAATAAAAACAACTATCAAAATATGATAGAAATGGCCAGATAGTTAGCTTATAAGTGTTTTGTAAGAAACTTTCGACGATCACAATGGAACTCGAAATGACGTGCACATAGATGAAAGTTTTGAAAAATGTTTTGTATTTCAACTTTATATCTGAATCATGTAGCTGACGTTTATATGATTCTCGTACTCATACGTGAGGTCCAAAGATATAGAAGTTTAGACCAATGATACCTTTTTAATAGAAACAACACGGTTACTTTAATTCCAGCTTCTGGGTGTTAATGATTGATGATTGTTTTGATAAAAGAAAAATAGAGAAAAGGACAGTGTAAAGAGACGAATTTGATGATATATCAGAATTTAACAAAAACACAAACAACAAAAGACCAATGGGTTTTGTTAAAGTGAATGGAAAACAATAAATGTTAAAGATAAACTTAATTTCAGGAGCACAAAATTGGTATAAAAAAATCTTCATATTGTATTCTTTTTCATCAAAAATAAGTTGATATAGAATTGATTTCAAAAAATGTTGTGTCCTATATGACTATAAGACTTGACGACCTTGATTCAAGCAGCAACGTTATATATCAACAGTTAAATGGTAAAACATTTCACGCCATATTATTGTCCTTTGTCCTCATGTGTTATAACAATGAAAGTACCATTGTTTTCTACACCAGATGCGCCTTTCGACAATACATGTCAGTGGTGCTCTTGGCCAAAATGTTTGAAAATCCAAAATTTATTAAACTTATTTTCAGTGTATTAAAGCGAAATCTGTTATGTATCCTTCCCTTTGCAATAGTATAAATTGCATATATTATCAAGAAGAAGATGTTAAAGTGAACAGTGATAATGAGTGTTAATAGAATATTACCTACATGCGTTCGAACATGTTATGAATCTCTGGTAACAAGGGACAAGCGCTGTTCTGAAATATCCCACAAAGAAATGTTATAAACCTGATCGGTTCAGGTTATTCGAAAATTTTCTTTCAGTCAGTATAGACAATGAACCATCCGAATGCATAATGTTTTTAAACTTTATATCTTATTGACTCATTTGATTCTACCAACTCCAGGTAAATGTGCATCAATAATCAAATTCTAACTGTCGAAAAACATATTGAAAAACTGAAATGACAAATGGTTTTTGGAAGTGAAGCGACGTCTCACATTGAGGGCCAAATCAGAATGTTTCCACTTATGGGCTATTTCTATTCACGAACACATTGGGGCCAGTTATGTTGGCAAGTCTTACTTGTTTAAAACTGATGCATTCATAGCAGGAGATGCTTATCTAGTCGACGCATCTAGTCTCGCTCCTTTTGTATTTTATACGATACCCTCAGACTATCTATTTCCTTGACTTGTCGCTTTTAAATCGATCAACCAAAGAATAAAACGATATACATGTATGGAAATTGGTAAATTTCTGTCACATTAATTGAAACAGTTATATATGTGTGTACCATACAAAGCATAAAAGTAACTTTCCTGAAACTTTAAATTTAGAATAAGATTTACTGGAGTTAAATATACATTAGGTCCAGCAAATTGTTCTTCATATCTTGCAAAAATAGAAATAGCAACTTACGTTTTGTAAAGAAAACTTCGACAGGGTAATATGTTTGAGCTTCATAAATAGTAGATACTATAACTCAATATTAAACGCGTCGGTGATTTTAAGTTATATCTCAAGACAGAATAATAAGGACTATTTTGAAAATCATCATTAAGAAGGCTTTTTTTAAATACTAATAACATCTTTAACGTTTTATTGTAAGTACAAATCAGTATCTTTAAAAATAGAGATACATTTATAAAATAATGATAGTTTTAGCATTTTGGTCCTTGTATCATATATTTTCCTTCGATACACTTTTTTGGCATTCAATAATATTAGATCGAATAACAATGAGGCATATTGCGGAAGGTTTGTCGCTAATAAAGGCTTTTTGCAAGCAATTTAGAATCAAGTAGTCACCAAACGATTTGTCTCTGTTGGTTGTTATTTTTCATTTGTCTGTCAACTACATAACAACATAATTTTATCAAACCTTAATTTTCCTTTCAAGTAAGGTTGTTTATAGATATATATATATCATTGATAACTACAATTATCGCTATTTTACGAAATTTTCCTTTGATCTTACTGACTGATAATTTCCTTTCTCAGCACAGTAGAGTGATATGAAAAAAGTATCGCTAAATACTAAGGGCGCACGTGCCGTTGTCAATGTAAACATCAACGTCGTCATAGGCAAAATAGGTATAAACAGGTTGTCATTGGTCATCTCAACTTGATTGCTTTTCTCACTTTCGTCGTACCGGTTCAAGCGAGAAAATCAATCTCGTTGAGATTACCAACGATAATCTATAAACATATTAGACATTTCAATTCCTTTCATTAATGAAACTCCATACATTAATTTGACATGCAATACATTTGCTTGATAACATCTATGTTCATCTTTTGTTGTACATATCTTTAATTGATTGGTATTTGACGAGTACTAGTTGAGCCTGGTCATTTACTTTTATTATATGTAAATTATTCAAAACACGAAGGTTTGTCTTACCCCGGAAAAGATAGCCAATGCTTAATTGTGCAGAACGTTCGGAATATTTGGTTTTTATAGTTCTTCCAATTCGTATTTGATTTTCATATATTTCATACGAGAGCCACCGATAAATCATTTATAGACGAAACGTGCGTCCGTCATATCCATTATAAGCCTCGTATATTTGGTGAGTTTGTTTTATCGCATATGTGTTAATGTGATAAAAAATGCTGTTTTGTTTTGTTTGATAACCTATTTGTCGATTTTTGTGGTTTGCTTTTCAACAAACAGATGGTATTTCAATATGTATTTACTGTGCATTCCTCTACGTAGAATTGGTGATTTTACAAATAAAATGAATCCGAATTACAAAGTATTTTTAAAGACAAAATGAAAAATGAAAAAGTATTGTATTTTACATTGAGAAAAATTGATGATGGCCTTTCTCTTATAACCAAAGCTTCGGTGATTGCTTGTATCTCATACATTTAATGGATAATCACGTAAGGATATAACTGCAAGTAGAGGGATTTGTTCATACACAGATTCTTTTCTAGGAATTTATACAAATGGATAACTGAAACTGGTATCTATGACAAAAGGGACGATTGATAGTTTGCATTACCAACCCTTCATTTATTAGAAACAACATACCCTCTCCCCCCTAAATATAGGGTTCACATATTTCAGTTGATAAGTTATGTTGACATCTGACTTTCTTTACAAGCATGAACTACGTAACAGATCAACTGTTTCAGCAATATAACGAAGTAGAACGAAAAACTGTGCGCCTCCCCTTGCCTACCTCTTCTTATTTTCATATGAGTCGGAGTTCCTTCAGACACTTCTGAGGAAAATCAAGGAAGCCCGGTCATTTAATTTCACATTCAGATATATTGATGATGTTCTTTCCATTAACAATCCAACTTTTCTAATTGGGTTCCATTAAAATATCCTCTAGAACTAGAAATTAAAGAAACAACAGACACGGTTTCCTCCGCCTCATTTTTAGACTTATACCTCGAATTTGACATAAGCGGTCATCTCAATACCAGAATCTATGACAAGCAAGACGATTTTAATTTTTAAGTTATAAAGAGGTAGGGTCAATTTCCCCTGAAATTTGTTCACAGAAGGGCCAATTTCAAAAAGTGCTGAAAGAATAAAATTTACGATAAAAACATGAAATAAAAATGTTTTTTGGTCGATATCTTGATTTTTATGTATTATGTTATGTCTGTAAAATAGTAAATTTAACCTTCAAAAAAGGATGAAAGTCAAATATGCGCAATTTACTGTTTTTTTTAGGTTGGAAAAACAGGGAATCCCCCTAGAAGGACACTTCAAACCAAAACAAAGTTATGTTTTTTGTTGTTGTAATTTATAGAACTTTTCCCCTCAAAAATGAAATTGGTTTAGTGTGTCCTTGATACATATAAAACAACTTTTTTAATAAAAAGTGGAACATCACTAAGTTTTACCTATATAGTTGCTTAATATCGACTATGTTTTCAAGAGTCGCCGTGGCTCCATCGGTAGCGCTTAACACTGTAAATAATGGATTGTTTTTAAGTACCACCGTCCCTACACCGGAACCTAAGTCATCAGAAAATGAAACAACACCACAGAAAAAATCAATTACACTACCAATCGTGACTGTAGGTAAAACATCAAGAAAGTGTTGAATCTGTATCACAACATAGGTCAATCCATTTGGTACAATGCCATGCAGAAAAGACAAGATTACATGTGTTTGTTACGCAAGCCGTTCTAGTACTAACTGGTGTAAGCTGTTTTCCGGTTCATATAGACGGTAAACCTTAAAAGCTGGAAAAGTGTATAGATATAGATACATCAAGATTGAGGAAAACAACTTCCCAGTTAAATGCGTCCGATATTTTTTGGCTTCTTGGTATTAAAACAGAGACATATCTTGAATCAGATTAGCTGATTTATATCAGATAAATAGATTATTAAATGTTTCTTGCATTTATATTTAACCCCCTTTTTTAGGCGCCACTTAGGGTCATTACGTTTTTCGGTCTGTGCGTCCGTCCGTTCGTTTGTCCATCCGCCCGTCCCTTCGTCCGTCCGTCTGTTCGTTTGTCCGTCTGTCCCGTTTCAGGTTAAAGTTTTTGGTCAAGGTAGTTTTTGATGAAGTGGAAGTCCAACCAACTTGAAACGTAGTACACATGATCCCTATGATATGATCTTTCTCATTTTAATGCTAAATTACAGTTTTTATCCCAATTTCATTGTTCACTGAACATAGAAAATGATAGTACGAGTGGGGCATCCGTGTACTATGGACACATTCTTGTTTAATATTTTGTTAGTTTTAAGTTAAACAAAGCTGTGAAATACACGTACGCTACAAATCACCTACCAACATTAACACGCTAATTGAAGCACCATGTTTTCTTTTAATACAAAACTAATTTTGAATATCTATTAGTTGATAATTCATATTTTAATGCTCCTCAGGGGCATTTACAAGCAAAATCAATATTTGTTTTGATAAACAAAAAAAAAAATAGTCTTGGCCTTGATTATTGTAGGAATAGTGCAGCTGCTACAAGCATATTTCAGAAGAATTGTGCACATCCTGCTACAAGAATGAAATTTATCATAAAGCTTTCTCTAGTATTACTCTTTGATTTCAGATAGGGAGGCAATCTGAAAAAATGCACCGCTTCCGGTAAAATTCAATATGGCGGACATTATACTTAAATCAGCCAATTATCGAAGGATGGTATGTGAAAAGGTGTTATAATCAGGCTACTATCATCATATTCGGCGCAAACCTTTGTTCTGTGCTACTTCTGGATACATTATATAAATTATATGTCTTTAAAAACCCTACTTCCGGTAAAATCTAAATGGCGGACATTGTACTAAAATAAGCGTATTTTTTTAGGAAGGGTAATTGAAATGTGTTTTAATGTATTGCTTCCATCATTATATTGTGCAGGAACCTTTCTTTGGTGCTTCTCATGGATACAATATATAGCACATATGTCTTTCAAACCCTACTTCCGGTAATATCCAATATGGCGGACATAGAAATAGCAATGACTTTTTTATTTTAATATTCAACTTTTTCCAAAATGTAAAAAAGTGTTTTTTTGTGCCGGTCATTAAACATTAAGCTTTAAGTTATCCTCAAACCACTAATTCGCTATTATGTTTAAAATGTTTTAATACAAAGTTAACACTTCCGGTAAAATAACAATATGGCGTAAATTTCAGAGATGAGTACTCAATCTGTATTCTCGATGTAGAGTTTTGGATAGATTGATTAAAAAAAATAAAGTCTATAAAGTACTAAAACATCTTTAAAATCACTTATACATGGCAGCAAATACATGTTTATTCACAAGCACCACCACAAGCACATAAAACAGTGCACGGGAGACCCGATTTACCACATTAACAACGACCGCGGGATCTTTTTTTACATCAACAATGTACAAGCTCCTGACAAGATGACGAGGCCTCAGAAAGAGCTGTCCAAAAGGGTTTTGATTGATCATCTTTGTCCCTTCGCCATCCATAAGCGCCTGGACTAGGTAGCATAGGAACCAATTCCAAGCTCGTTCCCCATACACACCCGCCTTGGTATATTGCACGTTTTACATGATGGAAAAGACTAGACCGAGTCGGCGGAATAGCCTCAATTAGTCTTCCCTTTTGTGCAATCAGTTGTTTTCTTGCATCGTTAACCCCATCTGATGAGTTTGTTCGATCGTACATCAAAACCACGTATCGTTCTATCAATGACATTATCAAATCCATATCTGGCTGGGCAATCATCATTCTAAATGCTAAAGGCACATCTTCAAATGCCATCCATGTCTCCCAAGCAGTCTTTTTCCTTTTCCACCAAACGAAGATACCGTATCACAACCGGTAAAGGCATGGAACACAGGAAGTGTGTGTGATCGCTCAATGCCTAGTGCATGGTCATAGATAGATATATATCTTAAGCTTTTTCCACCCCCAAACGCAAGCCATAGTTCGTCTGCCCCTGTGTCACGGAATAGCGAAATATCAATGATAGCAACATCAGTATTGAAATCTCTAGTCATGACCCGTTTAAGTGATTCACTGCATCAGACACATGCACCATGATTCTTGTGTCAGCCTCTTCATGTGAAAATGGTGCTAAACTTGAAACATCATAAGTGGTGTATACCATAGAACATTCTGAGCATTTGTTGCTACAACTAACTTTTCCTCAAAATGTTGTTAAGCAAGCTGCTGTGAAAGAAAACTAAAAAGTTCTTTCTTATTGTCGTCATCTCTCAGAAAACTGCCAATTTCGAGGTATTTTGTTTTGACCCTGGAATCGTCTGCGTATTCCCTTTCCCCTCTTGCTTCTTGTAGCAGCCTTCAAACTATTGTCTATGTACGCATCCCAGACTACATCCACTCATGTTACAGTTTCCAGGTGATTCATAATGTAAGGACAGAATACCAAATCAGGATAATCATCAAAGGTACGAGATGTGGATGGTCTAAGCATATTCACAATTGCTGCTCCGTCAATAACTTAAACATCCATCTCAGGAACATCACCTGTTGTTGTTGTCAATGGTTCTAAACACTTACATGTACTGAGAGTTCCGATTTGGTTCCGAGACGCATTTTCTCATTCTGGCTCAATGCTGGCGGATTTATATTATTTTCATGAGCAAAGAAGTCTTCCAAGTCGCCACCTCTTGTCTGACAAGATATATAGGGCCTTGAAAATTACGCCACATCACTTTTCAGTATGCTTATTTTGTCCTTCATTGCCGAAACAGTCTTCCCATTAGGAGTTCTAAGTAATGCCATTCCATTTTTCTTGATTGGTTCAAAAATGGGAACAGTTCGTTTTATCAGTCTGTGTTCTATTTACTTTCATACTGTGTTTTACCGATCGTTTCTATTTGGTGGATAGTATCAACGACAGATGTTGGTGCTATATCCTTCGTATCAAGAACAAGCAAATCCTGACTATCTTCCATGAACGGATTCGCTAACTCATCAATAACTTCTACCATCGACCAAAAATCCTTCAAAAATGACTATTCCGTGACATAGGTGCAGACGTACTATGGCATGCGTTTTGGAGTGAAAAACTTTAGATATATATCTATCCATGACCTTTCAAATGCACAAGCATGCAGCGATCTTCCAGTGTTCCATGCCTTTACCGGTTTTGATACGGGATCTTGGTTTGCTGGAAAAGGAAAAGAAAGACTGCGTGGGAGACATGGATGGCATTTGAAGATGTGACTTTAGCATTTAGAATGATGATTATTCAGCCTACATCACCAGACATGGATTTGATAATGTCATTGATAGAACGATACGTGGGTTTGGTGTACGATCGAACAAACTCATCAGATTGGGTTAACGAAGCAAGAAAACAACTGATTGCACAAAAAGGAAGACTAATTGAGGCTATTCCGCCGACTCGATCTAGTCTTTTCTATCAATTAAAACGTGCAATATACCAAGGCGGGTGTGTATGGGGAACGAGCTTGGAATTGGTTCCTTTATATGCTACCTAGTTCAGGCGCTTATGTATAGCGAAGGGACAAAGATGATCAATCGAAACCCGATATTTCTATGTCCGCCATATTGGTCATTACCGGAAGAAGGGGTTTTAAAGACATATGTGCTATATATTTTATCCATGAGAAGCACCAAAGAAAGGTTCCTGCACAATATAATGATAGTAGCAATACATTAAAACACATTTCAATTACCCTACCTAAACATACGCTTATTTTAGTACAATGTCCGCCATATTGGATTTTACCGGACGTAGGGTTTTTAAAGACATATAATCTATATAATGTACCCAAAAGTATTACAGACCAATGGTTTGTGCCGAATTTAATGATAGTAGCATGATTATAACACCTTGTCACATACCAGCCTTCGATATTGGGCTGATTTATGTATAATGTCCGCCATATCGGATTTTACCGGAAGTGGTGCATTTTTTCAGATTGCCTCCCTATCTGAAATCAAAGAGTAATACTAGAGGAAGCTTTGTGCCAAGTTTCATACTTGTAGCAGGATGTGCACAATTTTTCACGAAGCCGCCGTACTAGAATACCTGATCAAGGTATGAAAATAGATGATTTGACGTGTTTTCATATACTATAATTAGCATCTATCATGCTATTTAAAAAACAAGATTTGAATAGCTAATCAAATGAAAAAAAACTCACGGGAAAATGGCCCTACCTCTTTTCCCCACCTTAGCAATAATATACCAACTTCACCTGCATATGGGACATACCTTTTCCAATTAATTCGGTATTCAAAATCTTGCAGCTGCTACTCAGACTTTATAAAACTTCACCAGTGTATGAGCAGAAAGTTGATAAGCCAATGTTATGTCAAATAACGTCTCGTCCATTTAAAAAAAAAAGTTCATTGGAAGATACCAAGACCTTGTTGATAAATATTCCGTATCAACTTCACAAATAATACATGATGGTCTTGAGGTATAGATTCTAGGTACTGACGTTGTTTATCATCTTAATTATGTTTTAAAGTTTCCACTTTTTTGTCCTTGTATATTTTTAATCTTCACTGTTAAGTCCATTTTTTATTATACTCATGACGTGGCTCGGTACTTATACATCCCGCCATTGTGTTATTGTGCTATGGTCAATTTTGTATTCTTGTCTTGCATTTTTCTTATGTACTTTGTCTATATGCCATGTTGTGTTTCTTTGTTAGAACAGTTATTTGTTTTTATAGTGATTAAGCTTATATTACAATGTTGACTGCTGTACCTCTATTTTTGACGTTTATACCTAATATATCTGTTTGTTTTACTCACACATTGTTGTCAATACAATGGAATTCAGTGCGACTGTCATACAATTGAGAGGTTTGGCTAGCTATAAAATCAGGTTTAATCCACAATTTAATACATAAGAAAATGCCTTTACCAAGTTAGGAATATGACAGTTATTTTCCATTCGTTAAATATTTTTGAGCTTCTGATTTTGCCATTTTGTAGAGGACTTCCTATTTTGAATTTCCCCTGGAGCTCGGTATTTTTGTAATTTCACTTTTTACTTTACACTAATCAAGTCTTATAGTTTTCTCAAAACTGTTGTTCGATACAAAGTGAATATTTCTAAATCCATCAGAGACGTGAATAGTTGACATCAGAATAGTCGTCAGATCTGTATTTCCCCCGATTGTGTAGTATATCCTATCATATCATATTAATTGAGCTTGACGGCAACATACATAGCAGAAAAATCACAAGGTTGTCCTCGAACCTTGTCCAATTCATTCTGAAGTCATTCGGTGCCCTCATTTTTCAGTAGTTTTTTTCGTAATGGTTTGTTTATTTTTAAACGAGTTTTTACAAGTTCTAAACAGACAATTCTCTACCAAATATCGCATGACGTAGAAGTAGGGACTTAAACACTGAATGAAAATAATATTAAAAACATCAATACAACACACTATAAATCAAAAAGAAAACAAAATTCATATGCATCTGTAATATATTAAAAACACAAATGAACAAATCCTATTATAAAAGATGTATCCGTAATAACATGACTATATGCAATTAAAATAATTGATCATTTCGTTATCGGAAAATGTCAAAACCCGGCTTATAATTCAGTTTGTCATTCGCACATTATCGTCAAAATAATAACCATTAGTGGTGCTATGCCACAGAATGCAGGTCTTATCAATACCGAAGTTAAAGAACGTAGAATCTCTTGCATGTACTGTGCAATGTACTCCTGGCACAGTATAACGACACAGATCTAGAATAGGACACAATTAGTGAATATAAGTTTTCATTTCTTTACTAATGTCTTGAGAATAAAGAACACAACACGTTGTTTTGTTAGTAAAAACTCAGACACACTGTTTCTGTCAAATACTTCGATGGTCACCATAAAACATGATATGGTCCATTTCAGTCTTTCTTTGTCAAACCATCCTAGCGGAAAATTTTCGTAATGAACACATCCCTGTAAGTGAAGAATTGTGTATCATAAATGTATATTCAGAAATTTTAGAATCCCATTCATTGAATCAACAAACAAAATAACTCATTGATACTTCATTATAATTTATATGAACATACATAACAGACATGCATTTCAATTAACTTGTTATTCAATTCCTTATATCCGAGAAATTAAAAAAATATCGTATCTAGATTAGAATATATGATTAAACACATGTTACACATCCAAGTCTTTATCCCTACACGGTACAAGCTTACATTCAATATACTGACAATTACAGACTCTATTAGATCAGTTGTCAATATAAAGTATGAAATGCAGAAAAGTTGTGCACTAAAACTTTTAATGTTAACTATAATTATCATTTTAGGAGGCAGATTGGAAATCTTTTTTTTTTCAGTTTGTACGAAAAGGTATATGGTATGATAAGCACATCATAAGAAATAAAAGCTCAACAAAATGAGAAAAGGTCATTACTAGAACATTAACATCTATTAGCGGAACAAAGGCAACTGTGGTTTACTGATGTTCCGAAAAAGATACTATTTCAGGAAAAAATGCAAAAACAGGCAAAATTTATGAACTCTATAAGAAGTTAAACCGTTTGTATCAACAGAGTAAAAAGTAAAATCACAAAAATACTGAAATCCGAGGAAAATTCAAAATGGAAAGTCCCTAATCAAATGGCAAAATCAGAAGCTCAAACACATCAAACGAATGGATAACTGTCATATTCCTGAATTGGTACAGGCATTTTCTTATGTAGAAAATGGTGGATTAAACCTGGTTTTAAAGCTAGCTAAACCTCTCACTTGTATGACAGTCGCATCAAATTCCATTATATTGACAACGATGTGTGAAAAAAACAAACACAATAGGTAAAAAAGTCACAACACGAACCCCACCAAAAACTGGGGGTATTCTCAGGTGCTTCGGAAGGATAAGCAGATCCTGCTCCACATGTGGCACCCGACGTGGTGCTCATGTTATTAGAAAGTCGGTAAATAGTCTAATTCGGTAGGTCACATTCGTGAAAAGGGAACGGGATTGTAGTTTCGACATAAGGAACATATCCGATATCATTTGTGAAACGGATTTTGCATAACGGTCAACCAACTCGTGATGGCGTCCGTAAAATTTACTTCACCTTTTGGAACTAAAAATGGAAAGGTCACAATTGGGAAGCCGAAATCATCTCTTTTGTTGTAAAGTTTTGTTTTCAACCGACCCTTATTGTCAATTTCTAGATGTAAGTCAAGATATGAGACAGACTTAACTGTAAAACGGAAAGTGTATGCGTCTCCTACCATGCATGCAACCAGTCAAAATGTCACAGTCGGAAAAATGTAGGCGTTTGCAGAACAACTGTAGGTTATCCATTAAAGAAGTCTAATTATGATTAAAATGTGTACGAATTACTTAAACGGAATTAGTGAATACAACACTTTATCAATTTGGTGCGTTCGAACCGGATTTCTTGATTTATCTTTACCAAACAAATATATAACACAAAAGATGTATAAAAGAGGGACGAAAGATACCAGAGGGACAGTCAAACTCATAGATCGAAAACAAACTGACAACGCCATGGCCAAAACTAAAAAGACAAACATACAAATAATAGTACAGATGACACAACATAGAAAACTAAAGACTAAGCAACACGAACCCCACCAAAATCTGGGGGTGATCTCAGGTATGCTAAGGAATGATAAAATGATATATGGTCAACTTTACTTGAGATAGTGTCTTCTTATCAGTAAACAAATTAAGAAAAGTTAGAAACAGATTGGAAGATAATGTAAATACAAATTGTTAATAATCTATCTTGAAAATTACATATCCATTTATGATTTCTTACTTCGGACAAGCTCAAAGATTATTACAATAAAAAAATAAGGAGATGATTAGTATCTGTTAGTGTTACCGTCTTTTCTTTTCGTGAATGAAATTATGCATTCATGCAATGAACAATATACGTGGCAGTTGAAGCAACCAAAAAGACAAGTTTTTTTTTAATTTGTATTATAGGATTCCATGAACTTTCACTTTTCATTATGAAATATTGGTAGGAAAACCAACAGAAATAAATTTAGTGCATGGATATACATTTTTAAACGGATAGTTTAATGGAGATTAAATCACTCGTGATATTTCCAAAGATTCAAGATAATCTTTATCATATAGAAATAGTGCAACAAACTATTCAATAATCATAATGAAAAACAATAGAAAGTAAGTTTGAAGTTTGTCAAGTTTTTGTCATATATTGTTTTGGACAATAAACATCTATATCATCTGGTTAACGATTTTGCATCATCGACAATGTCTCAAGGTAATAACATTAACGGGCATCCATCATTTGTTTTCTCAAAACGGCAACTAGGCTACCATACCTGAACTGTGATAGATTCAACCATTCAGCAAAAAACAAAATATATACTCCACATTAAGTCTAATTTGTGACGTTTCTTTTGTTATTATATACAAATATAGAACAATCAACAGGGTATCTAATGGTGGGTTTTTTATGCTTCTTCGGTTCAAATCACGAACGAACAAATAAAACAAAAATGCAGTTTTGTATTAAATAAAAGCAGGAACGCCGAATATGTAATAAGGCGTTCATGACATTAAAAACATAAAAAAGGTTAACTTGGTTTACAATGGTTTAGCAGACGATACTCTCAATTGATGAGATTGAGTAATCTAAGTAAAATTACTTTGTATTTATTTGTGTATACATTCTTTTCCTTCTGTTTGGTTGTAGTCTTTTAATCATGCTAATGTAATGATGAAATTCCAAATCAAATAATCAAGACACTTTGAAAGCGTTTTCTATTTGGCTGGCAGTAACAATGCATATTGAAATGTCGAAGTTTTTCTCCCTAAACTTCCGCCAAAAGCATGCGGCACGCTTGTATTATTTCCGTTTATCATTTAATTGAAGACTTGTGTTAATCAACCTAATATTGATGACAGCACATGCAATGTTCTAACATTAAGCAGCGTAACAACGTGTCTTTTTACAGATGGCAATATTTTGGAAAGTTGTACGTAGTTAATTTTGGCTGTTCAAATGGCATAACGAATGATTGTAGTAAATTAATGATGTTAAAAGCTCCCTTGAATAAAGGATTTAATTTTTGTAGGTGTTAAACAGTTGAATCACATAGACCTCTACATATATTTTTGTTTTCGGTCATTGTTATCATTGTCACTGAAATTTCGGGGAAAATGAGCTGTTTAGTAAAACCACGTCATGAATATTTCAAGGTTTTTGTTTTACGAATGAGTTATAATCTTTCTTTACTTGTTTTCGTACATTATATAATTATTTAGATTATAGAACATGCAACAAAGCTTACAATTGTCCGTCCGTGACCCCCTGATCCTGTTTGACGGAAATTGCACTGCATGAGTTTTTCAGGACCAGGCCAAACAGAACAATGAAGCTATGGGTTAGTTCAGTGCATTACAAATTGAAATTAAATTTCTCCACAAGTAGTCAGTGTTTCGGCACTGGCCATATTTATGAAAAAAAATAAATCAAAAATTATTTAGAACCTTATATCCAAACGTCTTCAGAAAAAGTTGACATTTGATAAATTGTATTATTATGTACATATTGTTCATACAGCTCCTAACGATTTTACGTTTTTAAACATATTTGGGTTTACATTATTTTAGGTTAGAGTGGTACGTGTGATGGTGAATCTAGAAGGCGCCCCGGACGCAGGAAATTCATTTAAGAGCAATGGGTCGATACTGGCTTAGCTGCTACTCCCCGAGGCTTTTATCTGCTAGTCCCCGAGGCTTTTATCTGCTAGTCCCCAAGGCTTTTATCTGCTAGTCCCCGAGGCTTTTATCTGCTAGTCCCCGAGGCTTTTATCTGCTAGTCCCCGAGGTTTTTATCTGCTCAGTAGTCAGTGCTACGGTACTGACATGATCTGAAATATACATTTCACAGATGACAAGGATATCTTATCATCTAAGTTGCCGAGATGTTGTGCGTTTTCCTCAATTATGACATCGTAGTCACCGAATTTTAACAATTCAACAATTCAGACGACATATTCTGTTTTAACAGCTGTTAACAAGCAGACGGATATATTCACCATAATTAAATCTTACTAAATCAAACAAAACAACTAGTCATGTTTGTTTGTAGAAAAATTTTTGGTGGTCCTTTGAATTATTGACAAAGTGTCAATTGCTTTCCTTTTTCAAACATTTATTTCTATACCATTAGTAAATACATTGAATAATATTAAGTAAGTGATATTTCAAATGTATTTATGTGTTTCCTTTAAAAGAGAGGCGAAAGATACCAAAGGGATAACTAAACTCATAAAAAAACAAAATGAAAATAAATGCCATGGAAAAAAACTGAAAAGAACGAAAAAAAAAAAAAAAAAAAAAAATAACAGTACATACACAAAAAAAAAACAATATAGAAAATTAAAAACTGAGAAACACGAAACCGCGTCAAAAAACCGAGGTGATCTCAGGGTGTTTCGGAAGGGTAAGCAGATCCTGCTCTACATGTGGCACCCATCGTGTTGTTGTTGTAAGTACAAACCCGGTGATAAGTCTAATTCGATAGGTCACAATCGAAGAAAAGAGGATGGCATTGTGGTTACAACAATTGTAACATATCCGTCGTCATCTGTGAAACAGATATTCCATAATGATCATCCAACTCGTGATGGCGTCGTACAATTTTTGAAGGGATGATTTCAACTTCACTAGTTGTATCTCTTGGTTTAATAACTTCCCTTTAAGTAGCAATTATATATAAGTAAAGTCTGAATTTCTAAATATTGTACGATAGTTTCGTTACTAAAACAGCTTGAAGAGTGGACTTACATAAATCAATAAAAACTGTTCGCAATATAGAAATTTATACATGAAGGATGTCTCCATTTACTATATATTGATATAGACTGACTTTTTACATCATTTTACGTTATATTATCAATTTAGGTACCATGTTAACGAAGAGCCCTGTGTATATCCTATTTTGGTATAAAAGCATTATTAATTCGTTTTGTTATACATGTCATTGTATGTTCTGCTATCCACCTTTTGTTATTCAAATTATCATGATAACTGTGGGAAAGGTTGATATTTTTGATCATACACCGAACCAAAGTAAGGTATCTCGTTGTTGCTAATTGATATCTTCGTGTTTTGTCATTTTCGGGATATCATCAATGTTATTAATCTTTGTGCAGAACTTGTTTATAGTTGACGGTAAAATAATATTCTCAGGATATTGTTAGATGGTTTTTGCCTTTGGGTAGCTGCATTTGGCACAATTACCCTTTCCTTTCATAAAAATATCTCGGCCTCTTTACTGACCTATTTATTTTCTGCTGCCATAATTGCGAAATATGTAGTTTATTGTAGGAGTAATACATTTTTTTCCAAATTTTGTTTACTTTTGAATAATCATAGTTATGTTTATTCACTTTTTTAGATTACTTAGGACTACCGACGTATAAGAACCGAAAAAATCGAAGAGATATATTACCAAAAGGACCTTAAAATATAGCCAAATCCAGATAAGGTCAACTTTGCCTGAGGGAGTTGAAACCGTAGTTTTTTTATTATTTAAAAGTTTATAAACGCACAGTTTTAGAAAGGTTTGTTATAAATCATGTCCGAAGTAAAAGTTTTCCTGAAGTTGTTGAGAGAAATATTTAAACGTTAAACAAACCACTTTATACATACGTTCATACATTCCTGTTTACATAATTTAGATTTTTTCGAAAAACTAAGGATTTTCGTATCCCAGGCATAGATTACCTTAGCCGTATTTGGCTCAACTTTTTGGAATTTTGGGTCCTCAATGCTCTTCAACTTTGTACTTGTTTGGCTTTATAACTATTTTGATCTGAGCGTCACTGATGAATCTTATGTAGACGAAACGCGCGTCTGGCGTATCAAATTATAATCCTGGTACCTTTGATAACTATTTATAAACACTTATGCATCATATTCATGATGCACTTGACTGATTTGACCGAAAATTTTCGATAAAAAAAGTTATGAACCCAGCCCGTAAGGCGACAGTTGTTTACCGATGTTCAAATCTAGTTCATGCGTTAGAAAGATGCTGTTCAAGGTAACAAACAGAAATTTAGAGAATCACATTAACCCAAAAAGAAAAAAATACATTTTTGACAAAGCAGAGGGTCATATGTAGATACGCGTGACAAAATCTTCTCAGATAGGGAAGATCTTGTTCGATTGTGCAGTTGATCATTATTTGCTAGAAGCGTGTGAAGTCCCGTAGCAAATTTATCAGGCAATATCAAAATGATAAAAACTGAATTCTGACATAAAACATGTCTCTTGAATATTTGAATAATGCTGTTCAATATGTTTAAAATACTTTCTAGTTTTTGATTTTTACGGGCTAACTTGTCTGATCGTTTTTTCCTTTCTTTAACCTATGACCTGATGAATTTCGAATTTAACATGAAAAATCATAAGAGTGAATTTGCATTTTGTTAACAGATGTTTCTATAAAGTTTGATAAGCAGGAAAGGCTCACCTGTTGATAAATGTACAATGGTAAATTGTTTATCCGAATTACAATTGCTATGTCTCATAACATGGATGACAATAACAGCTGGAGTAAAAATGTTTTCCATGAGTGATTTTTTGAAAATATATTTAAGGATGAAAACAAATTCTAAAGATAAGGAATGAAAAAGATTTGCAAACAATGACAGAAAAGGTAACGACAAATTTATTATATATCAACTGAACTGATGATAATGAAATATGCAAAACCTGAAAGCAAAAGGAGGAGAGCAATGACACAATAATGCAGCTAAAAAACATGTAACACCAACTGAAGCTATGCATACTGTTTTCAGTTATCTGATTTGTATCAACTGGTAACTCAACTATTGCTGTTAATGTTAATGTTTTCCTGTGTTCGCATGCATATTTGTTAAAATAAACCTATATTTTATTAATGCAGTATTTAAAACACCTTTGTGAAAAAAATTGCTTCCAAACCACGATTTGATAACTATCCTGGATCTTGATATATTTAATAAACCTGTCGTGCTGTGAATATCCATAAGAAATAACTGCTTAGCAGTAAAAACAATGTACGTTTTTAGTTTACATTAAAGAGAGAGACCCTTAATAAAAAAAAAACTTTGAAAGATGAGATATACTATGTAAAAAAAAACCACATATAGCTGAATGTAATTTTGAAGATTTAATCTCTTGAACATCATGGTACAAACAAGATAAAAAACTAATAAGAAATAACGATCAATTTTCTCATTATTTTCAATGTTTAGTGCATGGTATATAAGTAAATATTCACTGGTGTTAAACTGATCATAGGAGCTGCAGTTACCACAATCCCAATATGGCGGAGGTAAAAATAGGTTAAATTGTTTTCTGCTAATTTCTCCGTTTATTCGTGTTGTTTGAAATACTCAGCCGCAAGGTATATCTGTACGGTTTTGTTGTGTATGTGTGTTATTATTATCATATATGGCATCGTTACCAAAATAATAGCCCTCGAAAACTTTAGAAAGATAATCGTAACTCCAAAAAAAGATAATCGTAACTTGTGGACAAATAATTGGAAAGATAATCGTAACTGCAGAATATTTCAATAGAAACTGATTTTTATCAGTAACCTCTGCTTACGGAATATTTGATAAAAAAAATTGCGTCATAATAACCACGATTATATAATAGCGCTATATCAATTTTTTTGTTCGCCACAATACCTCAATGGACGACTAAAATATGGAATGAAACTGTGATGCACACAACTTTTCCAATCTTTTTTACACAGATTTGACCACTTTATTAGCATGAATTTAGATTGTTTAGAAATGTATGTATGAATTGAATCAGAAACTTATACTAGCAGTTGTTTAACATTCAAAATAAAGATAAGAAGATGTGGTATGATTCTAATTACAATGTTGAATTATAACCTTTTAGAATAAGTTAGAAAAAATAAGATTGATTTCCTTACATGGAGCGTGCATAAAATTGGTAAAGGTTACTTATAATTAATTTGAGAACGAGAACAATATATGTTCTGATGATATTAAACACCACAAAAATATTATTAAACATATATTGACAGGATTCTGATGATTGTTGCTATTTGGACAAAAGTACAATACTTGTCAAATGACCTACTCTATTTTTCTTATACAAGTTTAATAAAAACCGAGCTACAGGAAACCTAAAGAAAACTCTTGATCAAATTGTTTGTATTCCATGTCATTCCATAGTAATGTAGCTTGTGGATAAGTAGACAACGGAATACCTTGTGAAATGTCTTGAAAAAAAAAACGACGAGGTAGTCCGGCGGCAGATGCTTTTTTATGCTGACCAGACATGTTGCATTTAAATTGTGTTTCATTTAGATCTTTTTTTTTAACCGAGATTGCTTTTTTAAACTGCGAATTTATAATATAAGCTTTGTATCGTCATGTAGTAATTCTGTTATTCTTATAATTGTGGTATATTACTCTCATTTGAACGTTTATGCTTCGTATGGGTCCAAAACCGTTTCATGCAGTCAGTTCTGCTGTCAGTTTTGCTACTTTGTGTTACTATGTCTTCTATGTATTTCCAAAACGGCTTTCTTATTTCTCACGGGATTTTGCTCTTCACTTTTTTTATGTAATAACATCTCTTTTATCGCCAGATTTCTTATTCTATTCGTATGCTGTATTCTATCTTTAGATAAGCCTTCTTATATCTGCTCCCAAGCCCCCTTCCCTCCAAGGGTGACTGGGGAATAGACATATGGACACTCTTGATATAAAAATAAGGAGATGTGGTTTGATTGCCAATGAGACAACTATCCACTAAAGTTCAAATGAAGTGGATGTAAGCAATTAAAGGCACCTGTACGGCATCCAACAATGAGAAAAACCCATTCCGTATTGTCGGCTATTAATGGCCCCGTCATGAAAAATATGAAACAATTCAATTGAAAAAACTAACGGCCTAATTAATAACAAAACGATTTACGAAAAACAACTATGACAGACATGAACCAACGACAACCATTGAACTACAGGCTTCTGACTTGGGAAAGGCATATCAAGAATGTGGCGGGGTTAAACATGTTTGTGAGCGCTCAACCCTCCCCTAACCTGGGACAGCGATGTAACAGTACAACACAAGAACAAACTATAAAAAACAGTTGAAAAAGTCTTAACTCATCAGATGGATACAAATAGAAATACATCTAACAAAAACACAGAGTGGACGTGGACGGGTTCTTATACATCCCCACAACAAAAAGAAACTAAATACAGTTCTGAGAGTACATGCAGTCACTGACAGCTAGTTCAAAGCCAATAACAACTAATAAAAAAAATCATGTATCTAAGACTAAACAATCAATCAGTACATATCCAACATCTAATGGATTTAGTGTAAAGACGTCATTAACTTTTCCCGACCGGCAGTAAAACCCTTGCCAAAGTGGCGAGTCCGATTTGGCTGTGCGGGATGTATAAATACGCAGCCACGTCCTGTCAGAATGGAGACGTTTAGTCTGATGCCTCATGTAGAGAGAGTGCCACGCTCTCTGCACGTACAGAATCCTTACAACAACTCTTTGAGCGGTCCTTCGGTGACCTTTTGCAAGGAAAAATTGTCCTTTCCCAACGTATCCTCATTTACCAGTAGCAGTCCATATTTTCCCACTTTCTTCCTGGCCGGCCCCTATTACAGGACCTACCTATTGTATTTATTGTTAATTTTTTCTCTTCCTGACATGCATGAAATATTTGCCACGGGACTTTAAACAACCAACTATCAAACAATCAATGTTATATCTGCTGTCATCAAGGGCATCCATTTTTTTTCACGATCAGCGTTAATAGTCGAAAGCACATCTGGTGCAGAACAATTGGTACCGTCAATGTTATAACTACCACCGGGCCGATACCTCTGTTAGTGGACTCTCAGTCCCCGGGTATATCACTTGCCCAGTAGCCACTACTTGGGTACTGGCATTAAAATACAGGTAGTTTTTTCAATGCTTATATAATATTTGAGAAATCATTTAAATAAAGGAATATATCTCCTTCATGCTAAGCTCCGATTCGTTCTCCTGATTCGGGTATACTTTAAGTCCTTTATAGTTTTATCAACTACGTTTGTATTAGGGTTTGGCCTCGAGCATCACTGAAGAGACATAATATGAGTTGTCGAAATACACATCTGGTGCAGGGACATTGGTACCGTTTATCTTATAACTACCACGGGGTCGACATCTCTTGTAGTGAATTGTTAGTCCCAGAGAGTATCACCAGCCCAGAACTGGTATGAAAAAAACGGATATTGATTGATTGAACTTTGCTGCTATAATTATGATTATCTTCCTTAAATTTTCAATAGCTATTTATTTTGTAACGTGGCCATATATGATATTAAGAACACACACACACAACAAAACCGTACAGATCTACCTGGTGGCTGATTAATTCTTGAAAACAACACGTTTACACGGAGAAATTAGCAGAAAACGATTTTGCCTATTTCTACCTCCGCCATATTGGGATCGTGGCAACTGATCAGTGTAACACCAGTGAATATTGAACGTTCAAATTAAAAGGCAATGCTTTTTTGTAGGCAAAGAAGGTCAAATATTTAGCTCAATGTAAGTATAATGTAATTCCTATAAACGTACACGCTTTTGTGAGATTTAAAAGAGAGAAATGTTTTGTGTAGCCATAATTATGCGCTCTTTTCTCCATTTTTGAGTTCTTTATCAAGATGCTTGGATACACAATTTTTTTCAAATATGTTTTAATGCTCAAACAGATATTTGTTCAGATGCTGATTAATGTAGCTGATTTGAAGATGTTTCTTATGACTCTGAGGGTTGTAACACAGCACATGATCTGTTGTTGTATGATGATGTCTGACTTGAAATACAATTGTTTTTGTATTTCGTATAGGATGGTGATACTTAACCATACAAGCACTTGGATAAGATTCATTATTTCTTTCTATTCCAACAATAAAATTCCTTGACCGGTCGAAAGCACCGAATTATTTAAAAGAGTTTTTTCTTTACCTCAGTTTAGGAAATTTATATAACATATATATATATTTATATATCAAAATGTATAGTTTGCAAAAAACTACATTTCACATAGATTAATTAAAGTTCGTTTGGCGTATTTAAAACTTATTTCAGAACACATTCTAACTTTTACGTTGATGTGGTTTACCGAGCCCGGAAATTTATATACGATCCGGGTAAACTTATCAATCCTTTAAATAACCTTATTATAAAAGGTTACCAATTCAACACTGTAATAATATCTTTAAATATTGTTTTATTGGTATAAATATTGATTTTGTAATTAGTAAATTGAACCCATACTTAATAGTTTATTATACACATATGCACTTTCACGGTACCACGATCTGTCGACACCTATATTTTGGCATTGCGCAATGTCATGTTTTTCTCTAACTGAATATGACGTTTTTACACTAAATCCATTGGATGTTGGATGTGTACATGATTTCTTTCATTAGTTGTTATTGGTTTTGAACTAGCTGTCTGTAACTGCGAGTACATGTACTCTCAGATCTGTACTTTGTGTTGGTTTTTTTTTGTTATGGAAGTATAAATACCCTGCAAAGTCCTGTCTGTGTTTTTGTTAGATGAGATGGTTTTTGCTTTGTATCGATCTGATGAGTTAAGCCATTTTCAACTGATTTTTATAGTTTGTTTTTATGTTGTGCTGTAACACCATTGTCTCAGGTTGAGAGGAGGGTTGAACGCTCACAAACATGTTCAACCCCGCCAAATGCTTTGCCTGTCCAAAATCAGGAGCCTGTAGTGCAGTAGTTGTTGTTTATTCATGTTGGTCATATTTGTTTTTCGTGAATTTGTTTGTTACAAATTAGGCCGGTAGTTTTCTCAATTGAATTGTTTCATATTTCTTCATGTCGGGGCCTTTTATAACCGACTATGCAGTATGGGTTTTTCCCATTTTTGAAGACCGTACGGTTGCCTAAAATTGCTTACATCCACTTCATTTGAACTTGGGTGGATAGTTTTCTCATAGCCAATCACACCATATCTCCGTATCATTATATCTAAGGGGAGATAAATCTAACGTTTTTTCGTCGATTCATCTTATTGCGATTGAAAAAAAATTTTTTGGACTACCTAAAATCCATAAAAGTAAGGAAATAGAAACAACAATCAAACACCAAAGTTGCTCATATATCAAAATACAATCACGAAAAGATTTACTATTTCAGCCGATTGATGCTGGACTACAGTTCCCTACTAAAATTATGTTTTGGTCACCTTCTTTCACATCTTCATCATCCGCTGAGGATTACATGACATGAGAACTATTCTTTTTTCACTGCCTGTTAATTTTTTAAAATGTTTGAGAAATTATGTACTTTGACAAGGGATGCATAAATACATTTTCTCCAATATACAGACTGGTAAGTATAAATTGTGATGTAGCTCATTTCCATCTTTTTTAACCAGTAAGACCGGAACCTTGACATGATGAAAAGAGGAAATTCCATCCAGTTCATTTTTCTAATAACGGAATTGATGCAATCAACATCAGCAACATTCTTTATCACTAGGAGGTAACATCTAAAATTTCACTGTATTTTCAAAATCAGTCTGTTCCTATTGTATCCTATACTTACTTTAAAACCATTGCACGTAACGTATTTAACTATAAACAAACATTGCAGGACCTTGATTTAGAAGAAAAACTCTGACATGTGACTGTTACCACTCGTCTTATATTTACAGCCCTAAAATAATTCAACATGAACATCTCCGAAAGATGATATCTCATGATCCTAAGTTCAGAGAACCCCAACACATCAATTGGAACCATAACTTCAAATCAATTATTCGATAGAGGATTAAGCCAGATCATGGGCTAAACATGAAGAAGTTGAACTGGATACTTTGTCAGAATGGGTCAAAACAATCAGGTCTCTGATAAAACGTCGATTCATAAGTTGAAAAACTGTGTGAATGATCGACAAAAGGCTGTTTTCTGAAACAATTAAGCTGTGAAATGTCTATCATCTCTTCACGATAAATATGTTGTTGTTCCTGCGGACAAAGCTTCAAATAGCATTGTCTTTGTATGTAAATCGTACTACTTCGAGTGTCTTGTAAAAGAATTAGGAATAAACAAGCACTCAGGTAATCCCACATACAAAAACAAATCATTTCACAAAGATGAGATTTTGACGAATCATGATTCCTTCATAACTTCAATGGACATTACATTATACAGCAAATCTGAGGACTTACCTTGTTTGTATTGGATACCTAAGCTTCACAAAAATCCGTACTAACAACGGTACATTACCGGCTAATCTACTTGTTCTACAAAGGAGTTGTCCATTAGATTGACAAAAATTCTGTTCGCAGTGAAAGAGGGTCTTCAGTAAAACTGTTTACTCGCGTACTGGTATTAACCATATGTGGATTCTAAAAAGTTCTAAAATACTTCTGAATAGTTTTAAATCTCGATTTTTCGATGAAATTAATTCTATTAAAACTTTTGATTTTATACCCCCATTCGCCATGAGAAATTGAAAAATCGTCTAAAAGAAATAATCCACAATGCTTTTTAATATAAAAATGGTGGCATACGCTATAAATTTATTACCTTGGGATACCATACGGCACATTTTGTTAATAGTGAACAAAAAGGAAAAACATGCTACACAGGAGAAACAAGTGATCAGTATGCTGTAGTTTCTTATTGACAACATATTTAATATAAGCTCCAGAACTAGAAATTAAAGAAACAACAGACACGGCTTCCTCCGCCTCATTTTTAGCCTTACACCTCGAATTTGACATAAGCGGTCATCTCAGTACCGAAATCTATGACAAACGAGACGATTTTAATTTTGAAATTTTCAATTTCCCTCACCTTAATAGCAAAAACTAAAATAACAAAAATACCGAACTCCAAGAAATATTCAAAACGGAAAATCTCTGATCAAATGGCAATTAAAAGCTCAAACACCCCAAACGGATGGAAAACAACTGTCATATTCCTGACTTGGTACAGGCATTTCCTTATATAGAAAATAAGTAATACTTACTGATATTTTGCACCTGGTCTTATATGACAAAGCACATCAATTAAATTTAACAATGATGAACAAGAATATAGTGCATTGTAGTTTGCCGCAATGTTTTCATATGTTTACAGACAGATCTTATGAACTATGTTGGAATTTGTTTTATATTTTAGGTGGATTGATATTGTTTTTAGTTTGCTTTATACTCAAATGGACTCATAATATTTCATCAGTGTTTTTGAAATCATCAATTGAAACTATTTCACCAGTACCTTTATACATAAAATCGACATCAAGAAGACATTCATACAGCATGATCAAGAAAATGAAGGGTTCAATATGTCCAATCTTACAAGGTGGACTGGGAAATAGATTGTTTCAATTCTCTACTGCGTTTGCCGCAGCAAGGTCTAAAAATATGAATCTTATCATTCCATCTGATGCTGATATCAGTAATGTTTTTGAAATTAATGAGACACTCAACGAAGCAAGAGAGTTATGTAAAGGATTTCGAAAAATTTTAGATAGAGCATCTCCAACATACCATCAAAACTTACTTAACTTTAGCTCAACTGATAACATTCAACTCGGATATGGCCTTCAGTCGTGGAAATATTTTTACATGTATGATAAACAGCTAAAGACGCAATTAACATTTAGAAAGCATATACAACATAAAGCAAAACAGACAATCGATAAAATTCTACAAAGGCGACACATTGAATCTCGCAAGAGTGTTAATTTGGTTGGTGTCCATATAAGGAGAGGCGATAAAGTTGGTAATCATGATGGGTTTAACATTGCTACACCAGAATATTTAAACAGGTCTGTTAACTATTACGCTCAAAAATATGAAGCTGTCTTATTCATAGTTATATCTGATGGAATGTCATGGTCTATGAAAAATATGCCTTCTCATGTTCCAGTTGAATATATATCATTAGGTAAAAGAGAACTTGATATGGCAACTGTCGTTGCCTGTGACCACACAATTATGACAATAGGAACGTTTGGTTGGTGGATCGGTTATTTAACTGGTGGAGATGTGGTTTATGTGAAGAATGCCGCCGCAAAAGGTTCACGATTTGAAAAAATACTAAATTTTAAAGATCATTTTTATCCTCACTGGATAGGACTTTAGTAAATCGACATTTTGTTTACAAATATATTTGTCCATCTTTTTTCCGCAACTATTGTGTCATGAAAACTTTACGGTTCCATCGACGTTTTATAGTGTAATCCAATTTGATGAATTTGTATAAAGAATAAGCTAACACTTAGTACCTTTCAGTAATACACATCATACAAACTGCTTAAAGCAAATGCAGAAAGTAATTACTGATTGTGTGTGTTGGTAAGTCTTTATTGGTTTAGGTTGTGTTTTGTATACTATTTGTCCTTGATCGTTTCTCGTTGTTTACATGAGAATATTCATTTAATGAGAAAATGTATGTGTTCTTAAGCTATAATTACTCATATGTTTACAAAGGTAGAAAATGTTTGTTTGATTATTTTATTTTTATCTTTGCGTATTAAGGGGAGATAACTCAGAAAAAATATAATTAATAAAGATATCTTCAGGAATTTTTTTCTATTTTATGTTATAGCAGGAAAAAAAAAGTACGTTGACCTCATTTTTCTTTTGATGTTCAAAAAGCATTTTATAAGAGCTATCTTCTCATATTTTGTTTCAAAATTCTGACATTCAGTTTACTTTCTATTTACACTATGATGCTTTTTCTCTGTATAATCCATACAATCTGTATCATTTTGTCATAACCTGTAGATTGAAATTAAAATCGGAGAACTTTTTAAACATGATAAAAAAATAAAGTTCCTGTAGCGGCGACTCTCATCTGCCGCCCTCTCTGACCTGTGACTCGCGTAGAAAGTACTGTATTAGTATTATATAAGGCTATTATAGCCGCGCTTTGAGTTCATGCCTATATTTTGCTCATGTCACTTGAATATATATATATATATATATATATATATATATATATATATATATAAAGAGAGAGGTGAAAGATACCAAAGGGACATTTGAACTCATACGTCGAAAATAAACTGACAACACCATGGCCGAAAAGACAAAAGACCAACAGACAACCAACCATACACCAATGACTTCACAGTAAACTAAAAACTGAGCAACACGAGTCCCATCACAAACTCGGGCGGGGGGGGGGGGGGGGATCTCAGATGTTTCAGAAGGGTAAGTAGATCCTGCTCTTCATGTTGCACCCGTCTTGTCGCTTATGTAAGGTCAAACCCGGTCATAAGGGAAGGGAACATATATATATTCCATAACGGTCAACCAACTCATATCGTTGAAATATTAGCCTAGTCAATTTAGCTCTAAAATCACTCAACCTGCAACTAATTGCAACACAAGGTTTTATTTGTGCAAAATTAGAATATTGACTTATACGAACAATATATTAAAGATCTACATTGATATGATTTGAAGAAAAAGGTTATTTTGGGGTGAAATATGTGTTTTTTACGGAAAAAATACTGAAAACTGGAAAAGAAGAAAAATTGTTATTTATGGTTAGATTTTTAGACTGATAGCTTGTTGAAGACAGGACACTGTATCTTATTAGTGTATTATGTAGTCTTCTAGTTATTAGTATTCATGTTACAGTAATTTTGGGGTGAAATGTGTGATGTTAGAGAAAAAACGCTGAAAACTGGAAATGAAGAAAATCTCAGTTGTTAATCGATGATTATGGTTAAATTCTTTGAAATGTGATCTTTATAGAAAATAGAACATACTTTTTTATATTTATATTGTGAGAGAGAAAAACGCTGAAAACTGGAAATGAAACCCTAACCCTAACCATCAGTTATTTACGTTTAAACTTTTGATGTGGGATCTTTACAGAAAATACAACATACCAACTTATGGCTATATTATGAAGTCCTGTGAAACATGGAAATAAAATAACTCGGTTATTCATGGTTAAAACTTGAAAAATATGATCTTTATAGAAGATAGACCATATCATCTTATGTTTATGTATATGAATTTCTCTGGCTATCAATATCAATAGTGGTGTAATCTATTCTTTGTGTGAAATAGTTTAATGAACAAATTACAAAAAAAAAAAAATTTAAATCTTGGTTATTTCTAGTTTTATTTCTAGCCACAAAACCAGGTTCAACCCACCATTTTTTCTTAAAATACCCTGTACCAATTCAGGAAAATGGCCATTGTTATATTATGGTTCTTTTCTGTGTGTGTTGCATTTTAGTGTTGTGTTTCTGTTGTGTCGTTGTTCTCCTCTTATATTTGATGTGTTTCCCTCAGTTTTAGTTTGTAGCCCGGATTTGTTTTTTTCTCAATCGATTGATGAATTTCAAATAGCGGTATACTACTGTTGCCTTTATTTATCGGTTTAAAAGGAAAATAGAGAATGGAAACGGGGAATGTGTCAGGAGAAAACAACTCTACCAAAGAGCAGAAAACATTCCAAGGTCACCAATGGGTCTTCAACGAGGCGAGAAAAACTGGCATCCGGAGGCCGACTTCAGCTGGCCCCTAAATAATAATGTATATTATAGTTCAGCGAAAGGGACGCCACACTTAACTCCAAGACACAAAAATAAACCAAAATTATAAAAAAAAACAAGATTAACAAAATGGTTACAGGTTCCTGACTTGAGACAGGCGCAAAAATGCGGTGGGGTTAAACATGTGAGATCTCAACCCTCCCTATACCTCTAGACAATGTGGAATAAACAAACCAACAGCAATACGCACATTAAAACTCTATTTAAAAGAAGTAAGTTTTGTTGAAGTTTGGACATTTTATCTTATGTTTCTGCTATGTATTTATAATAATTATACAAGTAGGTATAATATACAAAAATAGTTGATTGTGGTTCAAAAATAACTTTAAATCAGTTTAATTACTGACTTTGATTTTGTAATATTAATTGCTGAGAGAGTAACTTCTCTAGTGTCCTTGCTTCACCATTGACTGTAGTCCTTTTCTTTTTTCTTTTTTCATAAGCTACTTTTACAACATTTTAATTGCATAAAGTCACAATTAAACACAGATGACGTGATCGTAGTTTTCTCTATATCGGTAGCTAACTTTATTGAGCAAGCTCTGTCAATATCCACGTTTAATTTCAGATGAATTTGGGAATATATTCTAGTACACTGAATTGACATGAAATGTAGATATTATATTGTATTAAAGCAATTTCAAGGCCAGCTTTGTCAATACGATTATAAGTTTATCTCAAGATCTTGATTTTAAAAAGTAATTGTACCAAAATGGTCCAATTTTGGATTTTGGATATGAGATAAACAGGGAAAATACTTTCTTACGAAATTCAAAGACAAAAATATGCATTCAGTGGTCAGTTGATAAAATACGTCCATACCTTTTTGACTCTGGTTGATAGTCGCCACAATGGAAAGCATACCACACCTTCTTATTTTTATAGTGTGGTGTTTTTTTTGACGAGAAAACAGTAGGCAGTTCTGATGGCTGCCTTGCAGTGGGTGAGGTGGAGTCGAAGAGAGGTACAAGGAATTTTCTAGATATTTAATGGCAAAGTAATCATACACTTAGTAGTCTCAGTCTGAATATATCACTGTTAAATTAATGGACTGGGTTCCTTCCTGGAGAAAGCGCTAATAGCAAAAAGTGAAATCACAACAATACCGAACGAATGGATAACAACTGTCATATTCCTGACTTGGTACAGGCATTTTCTTATGTAGAAAATGGCTGATTAAACCTGGTTTTAAAGCTAGCTAAACCTCTCACTTTCATGACAGTCGCATCAAATTCTATTAAATTGACAACGATGTGTGAACAAAACAAACAGACAAAATAGGTAAACATGTCAAAAATAGCAACTGCGACTTATGTGTGTACCCTGTAAAACTGTATTTGGTGGTCTAAAAAATCAACCAAACGAGAATGACATAGAACTATTAACGTGAGTTCTCCGTTCAATGAAAATATCATGGCCAAACATATATATAAAGTAAAGCATTACAAAGTTCATTTCTGAGATATCTCACTGACTATAATTTTAAAAAAGGGTAATCAGCTTAAGCCTATCCAAGAACTATAAAAGATCATGCATCATGCAACATCTGAAAATAAAATAAAATTTGTAGTTTCTGTGGGCGATTTTGGGCCTGAGATATCTTTTAGATATATAGTCATATCTAATCTAAAATTATGTCTTTTGGTGTTTTTTAGTCGTTTGAGTTGCTGTCTCATTGACCTTAAATACCTCACATCTCCCTTTATTCCTAAACATACTCTGTTATAGAAAAAGTACTTGAAAATTCAATGTTAAAGACGCTGTTTCCAGCTTCCTGAATGCTGACCTGTATTCAACTCATTTGAACGAAACTCAAAAAATATATCAATTAAAATACATTTCATGCCAAACTGATATAAATAATTAGCTTTTAAGGTCCAGTAAACTCTATCAATGATCTCTTTGTTAGTGTGCTTGTCTCAAATGTGGGAAGTCATGTGTTTGATCGCTTGACAGTCAAACCAGTAATTGTAAAATCCCTCCGCAAGAGATAACGGTAATGTGGATGTTAACAACTATAGGTCATCGTACGGCCTTCAACGATTAGCAACATTAATTACATATATTAATCTATAAAGGGTTCAGACATTTCAAAATATAAAACAAATCGAACGAGAAACCCAATGGCGTGATTTATGTAAAAACAATAACGGAAAAACAAATGTGACAGGCAGCAAACAATAACCACCAAGTAAGTACAGGCCACTGACTTGTGATAGACATATTCATAGTATGACAGGGTTAAACATGTTGGCGAGCACTTAACCCTCCCATAATCAGGGACAGTGTTAACATAGCACAACATTAAAACTAATTGTAAACTCAGTTGGAATGGGCTCGACTCAAAAGATCGGCATGGAGGATGAAAACAACTTACAAAAAGACGACAAGTACTCATAGCTAGTTCAAAGCTGATTAAAGCTAATGAATAAATCATGTTGACCCCGACTAGAATATAAATCAGTACACATCCGACTAGCACCTAGAGTGAAAAGTGAGATTCAGTGTTACATCTAAAAAAGCTTACAAAGCTAAAGGTTTGTTTGGATGGTCTGTCAGTACTGAGATCGTTGTTAATACATCCCTTGGATGGTGTAAACTTCCCAAACAAACGTGTAGGTGTAATGGTGTATGGCATATGGTGCAATGGTAGAAGGTGTATGGTGCTATGGTGTATGGTGTGAGGGGAATGGTGTAATGGTGTAACGTGTGATCGGGAATGGTGTGAATGAATGTTGTACGACATTTAAAACTATTCAAAATATTGATGAGAACTGATTTTAATTTTATACATTAATTTACAATATTGTGATCAAAATTCGTTTTTTAAAATAAATAAATAATTTTGTAGTCGCACGCTTTCTTTTAAATTAAATTGCATTTTGTGTAATGTGTAGGGTGTATGGTGCAAAGGTGTAACGTGTATGGTGTAATGGCACAGGGTGTATGGTGTAATGATGTATGGTGAATGGTGTAATAGTGTATGGTGTTAGTGGGAAGTTTACATC